ATCCAATAGAACAATGCAGCAAATAAAAAATTATAACATTTTTCTCGTTTAACTGCTAATATTAATAATGATCAATAAATCAGAGATTTTCAGTTCTACTCTTTATCATAAAAGCCCGTCCTGAGCTTTGGCGTTCAAGGTCTTGGGTAGGGACGATTTGGTCAGAATTTGTTCCTAACAATCCTTTGAAATGGCTCAAAACGGGATGAACTCATGCATCATTGCTGTCGTGAAATTGTTGTTTGTTGGGTTGCTGATGCCCTTGAATGCTTTAGCTGCAGCAGCATTTTTTGAATGTCATTTTTTGCAATATCCTTGGCATAGCCGGTCAGGGATTTCTTTTAACATTTTGGAAACCATCTGCAAAAAGGCCTGTCTGCAGTTCGATCTTTGTGTTCAGGAGTCTGCTTGGCCTTTTTCAGGACACTGATAAGCTGGTTCCAGCAGTTGTTAGTTTTCGCTGCTTCAATCTTCTTTGCAAGACTTTGCAGATGGCGTATGTTTGACTGATAAGCATAATCCTTTGCGTCATCACCGTACAATTTGCCTTGCCTTTTCGTCTTGACAAATTTTTGACTCTGTTCTTCGAGCTGTATATGTTGTCTCAAGAACTGCAAAGAATCAAAAGTACTGCATTTGCTCTTATAACTTCGTTAGTCCAGCACCACTTTATTTACTCTGATTGTTTTATTCCTTTCAGCAACATAATTACCCTCTCAAAGAGTGGAGCTTCCTAGTGAATTTCTCCAGACTGGGTAGAGGGAGAATCCTTTCCCCTTTTTTCCCACCTTTCCAAAAAATTTTTTTTAATTTGCCACGTTGAACTGCAATTCGCCTTTTATCCTTCAAATGGTACTCTGGGTGCGAATACATATACAAACCGGTTCTCTTGCAAGCAATTTATATACAGCTTCGCCCAGTCGTCCAGGCATTCAAATTTCGCTTGCTGTCTCTTTTTTTGACGATTGTGAATGTTGTTTCTTTTCGCTTTGTTCTCATTTTTCGTTTCGTGCTTCGGGGGTCATCGGGTCACTCTCGAGCGTTCAGCTTAGTTCTACAAATATTTTGATTGCAATGTATTGTAATTAGTTAACGGAATTATCATTCTAGATCACAAACAAACATAACATGGATGATTAACCCGTGATAAATTTTCAGCTGTTTAACTGGCCCAATTCCTTAAGATGCCCGTTTCTAATTACTAAAGGTTAGCTAAATCGTCAAGTGCCTGTTCAGTGAAATTCTAAATTACAATCAAAGCAATCCTAGCTATAAGTTTGGTGCAAAATGATAAAGGCATTTTAAGATCTATCCTGTTTGCATTATCCATTTGTTTTGTGCATAAACGTCTTGGAAATGCTTTCGTGTATACTCGTCATCTTTAGTCTTCTTGGCAAAACACTGACACACCCCTTTAGTATGCTTAAAGTATCGGTTTAGTGATTTAGCTATATCGAAGGGTGAATTGAAAACGGTTGATGCATTATATAGTAAACTACAAGGAATGTTGCAACAAGAATTTGGAAACAAGGGTTAACATGTATCAATAAACGGAATTTGGTACAATGGATATTTGCGTCAGCGAAATGAGGCATACAACAAGGAACTGCAAAAACAAAAAGGGGAGGGGTGTAGATGAACGAAATTTGAAAATGGTAGGCTGAGGCAAATCAAGGAGACTCGAAATAGAACTTAACTGGTACAAAGAAAACTTAAATACCGAAATTGCTATGATAGCTGGGTGGGAAGAATGGGTAGGCGTTGTAAGCTATCACTACCTAATCAACAAGGAATTGTTGACGCAAATAATGTTCGACGCAAATTGCAAAAGTCCGCACAGATTATCCCCCCCCCCCCCCCCCCCCTTATTTTGTTTCCTTTGGTGTTTAAGTTCTGCAATCCTCGTGATCTATAAATTTTCCATCTATACTCGCTAATCCGTACACATCTGTGTTCGAAAACATGGGACGAATGGAACTGATGCAGCCTTGCGCGATTTAATTGTCTGCGCTTTAAGAAAATGAAAGGAAAAAAATACGCAGGTTTGGTGTAAAGAATGGTTCGTAAAAGAAGACGAAGCTTTATACTGGGCCTTGTTAGCAGGAACTCAGGTTGGCTGAAGAGAAGATTATCGGCGCTGAATGAATACCACAACATTTGAGGTAAGGCCCGTTTATTTATTTTCAAATTGTCGTTACTAAATCACAAATGTAACAGCTCACAGAACAAGTGGTAACACATCTTTTTATCATGTATCTAACCACCACAGTATTGCAGGTGAAAGCCTTTAGATGAAAGTAATTTCCTTATTCGATCTCATTTTTTTCAACGCGATTTTATTTGAATTTAGAGATTAGTAAATGTATTTTCTTTCGTTACTTGAAGGAACTACTGTTTAAAGTGCGTCCGTACATTGAAGGACAGACAACCCACATGAGACAACCAATCAGCGCTGAAGAGAAACTGGCAGTGACGTTAAGATTTCTGGCAACAGGTGAAACATATCAGAGTTTGAAGTACCAGTTCAGGATTCATAACAGCACCATAAGTTTATTTGTGCCTAAAGTGTGCCAGGTCATCTATGACGTTCTGAAAGATGACTATTTTTCAGTACCATCATCAGAACAAGAATGGATAAATCTTGCCGATGCTACCGAGAAGAGATGGCAATTTCCGAATGCTTTTGCAGCAGCAGACGGGAAGCACATAGCAGTTTACCATCCAGATAATTCAGGTGGGACCTTTTATAATTACAAAGGATTCTACAGCATAGTTTTACTAGCTTTTGTGGACTATGACTATAAGTTCATATATGCAGATGTCGGTTGCCAAGGTAGGATAAGCGATGGTGGTGTGTACCGAAACTCTTCGTTTGCCGAGAAACTTTCTGCACTTGAACTCAATTTACCACCCGCCAGGCCTTTACCAAGATCCAAAAATCCCGCCTGGACGCCTTACGAAAACGAAGAGGACATTCCGTTTGTTTTTGTTGCAGACAGTGCATTCTCGTTGTCAAAACATTGCATGAAACCGTATCCTGAAAAGGGGTGTGACGATAAGAGGCGAATCTTCAACTACAGACTATCCCGCTTACGTCGAGTAACCGAAAATGCTTTTGGTATTTTGACTGCAGTTTTCAGGATCTTTAGCACAAAGATCAACGTGAATCCAGACAAAGCTACAAAAATTGTTAAAGCAGCACTGGTGCTACATAATATGTTGAGGTCAAAGTCACCAGAATCATATACGCCTGCAGGGTTTGCTGATGAAGTTGTGGATGACAACGTGATTGATGGGCGATGGAGGGAGGGTAACACTGGCTCTTTTCTGGAACCTTTACCCGCTAGACTAAAGGGTAATAAGCCTAAAGTTTCAGCCGAAAAAATTAGGGAAATATTCGCAGAACATTTTTATGGTCCCGGCGAGGTCCCTTGGCAATGGAAGTGCCTAGTATGAGTATGCCTAGTTATTATTAGTGCAGTAACGAGAAAAGATGTTATAATTTTTAATTTGTGCATTTTGTCTATTGGATGGATTGTTCTCTATTTCTGTTGCTCAAAATCTTTTAATGTGTAGCTTATAACGGGCCATTCTCAAAGAAAACTTGTGAGACCCGAACCTCTTTTTATCTGAGAATAGTCCCCTGCCCGTTAAAACTACCTTCCCGGTCTATTTTAGTTCTCAGAGCATGAATCTAATCATTTCTTCACGCGAATGCTTAGTAAAAAGTCTCAAAATTCTCTCCCCGAGGCTGACATGACGTCAGAATTTGTCGGCCCCTTTGAAAAAAAATGATGGTAGAGATTTTATTTTGACCCGGAGTCAAAATAAAATCTTCAACGATGGATCATTATCGCCAATTAAGCGGATTAAAAACGACAGATAGCATCAAACTTTTTTCAGCAATTTAGCCTTTTACACGATCGTTGTCATTCATCGCGGTCCAATATCGAAAAAAAATTTAAGGAAAAACGATCGTGTAAACCCGCCTTTAGATAGGTTTAAGAACCTTTTAAAAAAATCTGTTGTTAATTTTCAAAGTCTTTTATCTTGATTCTGAATTTTACTTATCCTTAGACGTTTGTTGACAATTTTTCTTCCTCTTTTACAACTATAATCAGCCCACTGTATGCCCCATGTACTACTGACTTTTAAAGGAAAATATTTTCAATTCTTCAGATAAAATTACTGCAGAAACTTTGTCAACGTTCTCTGCGTATCTTTCTCGGTTTCAAAAGGCAGTTTAAGCTGTATATATTTCCATGGTTCAGAATGACAGAAACGGGCTATGCTCGAAACGTCGTTATTTATTTAAAAAAAATTTCACTGGTACAATTTACTTACATTGATCGTTATTATAGCATTTTATTGTACCGCACGCAATCTAGTATATTTATGGAATCTTCAGAATGACAGGCCTTCATTCAAACTGCAGTGCTTACATTTTTTGCCCGATCAATTTGCCGAATTTATCCTTCTGTTTGCTTAAATTCCTTCCTAAATGGACGAAAAATCCTTCCGACTTCCCAATAACTAGATTTATATGGATTGATGGCCTTTATCCGTTATTTACGTTTTAAACTTTTTAAAATTGACCCTGGTGTTGATGTGAACACACGAGCTTTATTAAGCTATTTCTTTTCGTATAGTTTCGAAACTTTTTCCCTGTTTAGTTTCGAAACTTTTCCAAACTTCCGATGCGTTTGGGATTGGTGCGTAGCGACAAGTGTGACGCCGTAAGATTATATTTGATAACTTCGTACCATATTACTTTATAGAACACCAAAAATTATCTTTAAATATGATATTCAGTTGGATATGTTACAAAGCGCGAGCTATGACGAATAAATGATTTTAAGTTGTGGCTAATACATTTCTACTTTTTGACACGGGTCATCAAATTTAGTTTAAAGGAAACAGAATTACAGTGATTCGACGGGGACAGAGCCTGTGCTCAAGTTGCCATATCTCAGTCAGGCTTTGAGACATTTAACTGATTTCACACATTTAGAGATCTTTCAGGTTATGCAACCCAAATTATAATTTGTAAAAGCAGCTTTTGTACCATCATAACATTGAATTTGCCAAATCAGTTTACTGGTCAAAATTTGCATAAACCGGGAAGCCCTTCCTGTGTAACTGGCCCTCTCACTGATTGAAAACACCATTTGTTATTTTTTTAAATCAGAAGTTTAATCAAAATTTTTTAGAAAGTTCTTCTTAATTCCTTCTAATTTACAATTCCTCCTTTTTCCATTTCCAATCGGCCGGAAATCCCGAAGAAAGGAATAATCCTGTAAAGTTATCCATCATCTCATCTCTGCATCGAGGCTCGCTCCGCAGAGCACATCTTTTTACCTTCTGATTAGGATGTTATCTTTATAAGGCACCGCGCAGCGTTGAGAAAAGTGGGGGGACTAAAAAAAGTGGGGGGTCTAAAAAAAGTGGGGAGGCTGTAACCGTATAAAAAGAGGCTTTACTGGTAGTTTATTACTTAGCATTTGGCATTTTTTGCAACAAGTATGGGGGCTAAAGACCTCCAAGCCCCCCCCTCCGCTCCGCGGCGCCTGTTTATGGCTATTCCACTCGCTCTTGACAGTAATAAAAAATTCACATATATCTTACTTGTACACACCCTAATCCATCGGTTTTTCCGAGCGCCTTTTTAACTCGTTCATTGGGCAGCAAGAACGCATCATGATGGATCCTTAGACCGTGCTTCCTCACTTAATAAAGACCTTACTACATTCAAAGAAGTAAAACCAAAGACTGTAGGAACTAAATGGAAGTTTGTCTCTTCTTCCAACCGAGTTCTTGGGACCAAACATGTCAACACCACTTGCAAAATACATCGAAGACGAAGAATTGAGAAAGCTTTTTCAACGCCCTGAGAACTGCCCAACGCTAAGTGTCCCCACCATAAACTCCGATCTTTTGGCCCGTAAAATGGCTCAGAAAGCCAAGCGTTTGCTTACTAAAGGCGTTCATTGGGCAGCAAGAACGCAACATGATGGATCCTTAGACCGTGCTTCCTCACTTAATAAAGACCTTACTACATTCAAAGAAGTAAAACCAAAGACTGTAGGAACTAAATGGAAGTTTGTCTCTTCTTCCAACCGAGTTCTTGGGACCAAACATGTCAACACCACTTGCAAAATACATCGAAGACGAAGAATTGAGAAAGCTTTTTCAACGCCCTGAGAACTGCCCAACGCTAAGTGTCCCCACCATAAACTCCGATCTTTTGGCCCGTAAAATGGCTCAGAAAGCCAAGCGTTTGCTTACTAAAGGCGTTCATTGGGCAGCAAGAACGCAACATGATGGATCCTTAGACCGTGCTTCCTCACTTAATAAAGACCTTACTACATTCAAAGAAGTAAAACCAAAGACTGTAGGAACTAAATGGAAGTTTGTCTCTTCTTCCAACCGAGTTCTTGGGACCAAACATGTCAACACCACTTGCAAAATACATCGAAGACGAAGAATTGAGAAAGCTTTTTCAACGCCCTGAGAACTGCCCAACGCTAAGTGTCCCCACCATAAACTCCGATCTTTTGGCCCGTAAAATGGCTCAGAAAGCCAAGCGTTTGCTTACTAAAGGCGTTCATTGGGCAGCAAGAACGCAACATGATGGATCCTTAGACCGTGCTTCCTCACTTAATAAAGACCTTACTACATTCAAAGAAGTAAAACCAAAGACTGTAGGAACTAAATGGAAGTTTGTCTCTTCTTCCAACCGAGTTCTTGGGACCAAACATGTCAACACCACTTGCAAAATACATCGAAGACGAAGAATTGAGAAAGCTTTTTCAACGCCCTGAGAACTGCCCAACGCTAAGTGTCCCCACCATAAACTCCGATCTTTTGGCCCGTAAAATGGCTCAGAAAGCCAAGCGTTTGCTTACTAAAGGCGTTCATTGGGCAGCAAGAACGCAACATGATGGATCCTTAGACCGTGCTTCCTCACTTAATAAAGACCTTACTACATTCAAAGAAGTAAAACCAAAGACTGTAGGAACTAAATGGAAGTTTGTCTCTTCTTCCAACCGAGTTCTTGGGACCAAACATGTCAACACCACTTGCAAAATACATCGAAGACGAAGAATTGAGAAAGCTTTTTCAACGCCCTGAGAACTGCCCAACGCTAAGTGTCCCCACCATAAACTCCGATCTTTTGGCCCGTGAAATGGCTCAGAAAGCCAAGCGTTTGCTTACTAAAGGCGTAACAGGGGTTATTGCGGTCAAAGAGACACTCCTTAAACTGAGAAAGCACCTGGATACGTTTCCAATTTTATTCGAACGTTTTTCTAAAGACATGATTAATGACATAACACGATAAAATACCGGACACATCTTTCTGATAACGAGAGCTACAAGCCTGACACTCATTGTTCTCAATATTTTAAATGGAATGACCTTATCACTATTAAAAAAGCTTTGGAATTTTATTTGTTGTATCGCATATCTTCTTATCTCTAAGAGCTGCTGATGAAGGTCAGAGATTGGCTTTTGGACAATGACAAGAAGGTCTTACTGCTTCTTGGACCTCATCCATTTTTCTTAACAGCAACTCCTGAGCATGCTATGGTAGGCAAAACTGCTATCACCATTATAACTCTGTTGAGGCTCCTCTCTCTTTTAGGTTCCTTTCTTTTAACCCATCTCTTTTCAAAGTCCCCTCCCTTCTAATCCTTTTCAAAACCCCCATTTTTTAAAGCCCCTTCTCTTCTTAGTCCTTTCTCTTTTAAGCATCCCTCTCTGTTAACCACTCTCTATATTGACGTCTCTCTATATTAATCCCCCTTCTCTATTAGTACTTATCAATTGATCTGATGATTCTAATAATGATGTTTTATTCCAAGACATGATCATCAGACATTATTGTTATGATTTTCAGACTATATCTTGATCGAAACATGATGAGAATAATCATTTATATTAGATAAAGAACCTGCTAGTTATTTCATAGTATTTTAAACACAAAAACGATTATTTCATAGTATTTTCAACGCTTCTCTACCAAGTCCCTTTTCTCTTAGCCCAGCATATTTAAGCCCCCCCCCCCTGGTACATCAAAAACAAAATACAACCCCTGGTCTTGATAGAGTTTCTTTCTATAATACTTTTTCAGCCTTTTGCAAATTTTAGTTGGGATATCTGACATTTTTTTGCTTGAATATTAACAAGAAATAACAATTCATAATTTAGAAATCCTGATGCTCATATTTGCATTGCATTTACTACTTAAAGCATTGGATTTTATGTGTCAAAAAAATTTTTATTGCGACAATATCAAGACTGATGTTTTGAGTAAAACCTTCAGGAGACTTATAAAGAAAAATGCAGTTTTCAATTTGCTAATTCTCAATTTACCTTATTCAGTAGATGAATTACATCAAACATTTCTAAACTTAGAAATGTTTGAGATATTGTGTAATTCGGATGTTTTTGTCCCTCCAGATTCTTCTCAACAGCAATAGAATCATTACCAAAAGCTTTGAATATTCTTTCCTTGTCCCATGGCTAGGCACAGGTAAAGCAGTAACCTTCTTGTGTTCATGCTTAATTTTCTTTAAGTTCCTTTCCATACGATTTGGGAACTTTTTCCACATACTATTAAGGTAATTTCACCTTACCTAATTTCACAGCATATTTTGGTATTATGTTGGTGTCTTGCACTTCTGTTTAATACATTATATATCAGATATTGGAAATAACCATCAGTTTATGTAAACCTTTCTTTGTTATGTACAGTAAACTCCTAATAACTCGGACCCCTGATAACGCGAACATTCGCTTAGTCGAACCGATATTGCACTCCTCTTGCCCAATACATTTATATAAAAATGCCCCCGATCATTCGAACATTTACTTTGTCGAACCATTTATTGGTCCCCTGGAGGTTCGATTGTATTTTATTGTATATTGCATGTGAGGAGACAATTAGACTTGGAACTAACCGCTTCTAAATCATGGTGTCCTTTGTTTCCTTAAAGAAATTCAATATTTGATCTCCATTTTATTTTAGGTCTTCTGATCAGGTACGTCAAAAATTCTTGAAATTCAAATGCTGTGTCACTAAATTGAGATTCAAGCAAACATTGTAAAGCATTCTATTCATGGTTTTGAGAACAAAAAGTCTCTGTTTACCAAATTTTTCAAACAGTTTTGATTAAAAACACCAGTCTATAAAAGCACCTATCACCCATCTATAACAACCTCTAATGTTCTTTTGATATCTTCCTTTTATCTCGGCTTCTTTTTGTTACTTCCTTATCTTTTCGTGGTCTTATTTTTCCTGTTTTTTTGGCCTTGCTTTTTATATTCGGCCATTCCAATAATTCTGGTTCGCCACGAAATTTATGAATTTGCTCTCCGCTGTTGATGTAACTTTTGTCAATAGATACTTTAGATTTTGTTCTTGCCTGCCTACAACAAGATCTGCACACCATCCTCTCGTTAGGCCAGAGGATTATGCCAAAAAACTTCTAATTAGGCAATTATTAAAATATGTATGCAACAAAAACTTCTTCCTTCTAAAGAACAATTAAACCTACCATTTCGAGAGTTAATATTCACGTCAGAAGATTTTGTACCCTTGGTGCCAGCACCTTTTGTGGCTCTGGCATCAAGGGTAAAGATTCTAAGCGAGTAGGCATTTTTGGGAGAAATGTAAGCCATGTGATATGAAATTTATGGTAGTCTATTGTAACGAGTTAGTGTCACTTTAGGCTCTAGTGGACATTTAGAAACCAGGATTGAGAACTGAGATTCAGCAATAGATGTTGTTGCGAATTTTTCAATATCTGTGAGTTTTTCTACCTTGATTTAAAGTACTGGCAACAAATGGAGAAAAAGAAGAAAGTTGTTGACCCCTGCTTTTCATTATGGGATTCTGAATGACTTCGCTGAAGTATTCCAGGAGCAAGCACAAATATTCGTTGAAAAACTCAAGGTTCGGATTTACATCTCAATGTATTTATCTGCTGCTTATCCGCGATCCGTTTCTTTTTTTATCCCGAGTTTGCATTATTTGCAGTTGATATTTTATATTAAGATTGTAATGAATTCCAAGCCAGTATAGAACGAAGGCCAATTAGGTAGGTTGTAAGAGCTTTTAACCGAAGTTTCAGTCCATTTGGAAATAATCTGAAATCCGCGACAAAGCCAGGGGAGGAGGGGAGGGGACAAACCTAGCCACATTACCCTATGTCTTAGGCAAGGGTTAGCTCGAACTGCCTTGATCTACGTATGGAACGTATATCAATCTCAGAACATTGTACATGGCAGACAAACAAGAAAATAGGTCCTGCTTTTCAGGACTTTTGCCTTTTCTTATGCTTATTCTTTTTTTCATACCCGTGTCCCTTTCCCGTTTCTAGATCTTACTCTCTTCTCAAGCCTCCAATTTACTTTGTGATTCATTGAGAGAACTGAACAAAAAAGCAAAAAATTAACCACGAAGAGTCTTTGAAAGTCTTAACCACTCTATGAAAGCTATAAATCAAATTACAATTTTATTCTTTTTTTTGAAAAATAATTTTGGATTCAAATGCTCAATTAAGCAGTTGCAGAAATTCGTCTGTTAAAATTCGTATGTTTTCATATGCGGTACATTTCTTCTTCTAGCCATTGGCAGATAGTGGAAAAACATTCAACATATGCACCTATGCAACCAACTGTGCATTGGACATTATTTGTGGTAAGATATCCTGATGAAATCGCGATTTTAGCAGTTGTGACTGAACTAGATACTGCTACAAAGATTGGGTGTCATTTCATTCTGCTGTTTAACAGAAGACACTTGTGGGGACTAAGTGAGACGGCGGCTATAGCAAAATTAGAAGCTGAGATATATTGGGCATCTTAAAAAGGGATAACGTTGTTCCATAAGTTTTGGCCTGATGATAAGGTTTGCAAATATCTGGTTGAAATCGATATCAGTGATGGCCTTTGCAAATAAGGTGAACCACCACGACTCTAAGTAATGGATCTTAGATGGAGATCAAATATATTGGGTTTTGCAGCTAACGATGATAACGTCACAATTAACTCAAACTCAATGCTAGAAGTCTTGTCGTTAAATTTCACCAAAATGTTATATGCACTGCACTTAGTTTATGATAAATGATGCGAATTAGTCACAAACTTTAGCAGAGATAATAGTATTTTGAAAGATTGAAGCTACTGAAGTGAGAATGCGAAAGCAAAAGCCTTTATCAGATTATATAAAATATAACAGATACAGTATTCAGTTCATGGGATGTGTTTTTTGTTTAGGAAATAGCTGGTTAATTGATTTATCCAGTTAAGCTAGTAGGTTGCTAAGTCAACCAATTGGCTGAATTTGTGTGCTCCTGAAGAGTGATATTGAGTACAAGGGAAACAAATTGAGGAAAGAAATGGAAACTATGAATTGAAAACTGGTCTACAATCTTTGCCAAAACCTCTTGAAAAACGCAATAGAGCTCTCTTTCTACTTCTCCGGACCACCCAACTTCCAACACCTCACACCAACCCCATTCACCCCGTAAGCAATGCTGATTAGAAAATTGCTGTTCTTATTTGACTGTAGAAAACCTTGCATATCCAAAACATGTTTATAAAGCATAAACGTAGAAACATTCCACATTGTTTCGGGGGAAGGTGGGATGCGTGGAAAGTTTAGGGAAGTTTTTCAATTGTTTTGGGAAGGATTTAGATCCCTTTTTACAAACACATAGACACAATTATTCACTTATTTATGCACATCTAAAGTGTCATCGATGATAGGTCAGCAGCGAATGTAGATTACAAATCCAAAGAAATTTTGAAAATCCATGGTAGAAGTGATATCGCTGTTCGTTATGTTACAACATCCAAAAGATAAGATGGTTACGAAAGGATAATAAATCTACCACGGCGTCACTGTTCCAAAATAATGTTCTTTTCTTGGGACAGTGTGACGCCATAGAGATCTTTTACCAATTGCAACTTTCCACAAAATATTCACCCTTTCAACTTGCCAATAAGCCCAAACTTCGAACATCTTCCCAAAAGAACAAAAACAATAGAAATCAAAGCTTGGTGTGGCAGCTGAATTTTTTTCCATTGATTTTCTGTACGGTCTTCACTTGTTCATTAGCAACTTTTCTGTACACAGACGCATGTTTTGATGATGTGCATTTCCATACTGGTGCAAAGCACTGATCATAGATTTTCCCACAGCTTAATTAGTATCACGGCATTATGAAAAAGTTTCTGTAAGAATCACAACTTGTTTACATATTGAAAATATTAAACCTGCAAGAACATCGTAAGCCATGTCGTATTTTTGTCATGTTTTTATTTGGAGTTCGAAAGGCGTTCACGTTTTATAAAAAATAATAGACAACATTGGCGAGAATTCTCGGGTTGATGAATGCTGTGAGGAAGGAAGAAAGGTACTGAAAAAACAGATTTTGTCTTTTGAGCAAATAGAAAACACAGGTGATATGCTAAGCTTCAATTTTTTATGTATGTCAACTGTATATTGATTTTTAAGAAAAACAAAAAGTACTCGAAAAACTGATTTAAAAAATCGTTTTTTGATTGGGTAACTCGTTAGCGATGATTGTGTACACTGCAATCTTTCAACAGCCTAATGAGCAGAGAGTAACTTTATCAGTACCTACAGTTTTTCTCTTAAATCTGTCCCATGAGTAGTCTGTTCAATTTTTTCAACAGTTGATCTTGTTTCAATGGATTGATTTCGATGACTGGTAAAGTGAATATGTTTTCAAAACTTCATAATTTGAACAACATAATCTGGATAAAAACCGTGAAAACTCTCAAATTGCCAAAATTAGTTACTTCTTTTTAAAAGTTTGTTGACTTATTGCAGCCAAAGACTTGTAGAATAACAGGGTATGCGGAGACTCAAAACTAGATATATTCCATTGTTATTCTAACACTTTTGACTTTTATAAAGTTCTCCCAGGTAATATGTCTCAACTTTAGGAGAGGATTTCAACGACACAGTTTTTTGCAAAATCATAATACACCTTTTTATACAAACTGGTAATTTTCTTTTACTAACGTGTCTCGGGTTTTTACTTAAGCAAAAAACTCATGAAAACATTGCTTATGCATGGACTGATTCCATCCAATCCTTTTTCTAGATGCAAACTCATTTCATATCTGATTTAAAGCACTATAAATTATTAATGTTGCAGAAACAGCCATGGGTGTCAACTGTGGATCACAACACGACGCAGAGGCAGAGTATCCTAAAGCTGTTTTGAGGTACATTTGGTTTTTGCCTTTTTTATCTTTTTTGTCCAATTTCTGATTGATATTATGATAAGTGCAGCATATACTAAAAATTGAAAACAAAGGTCCTGTTGATTATAACATATTCAGCTATGATGATTGTTGTAGATAATTTGAGAAAATTTATTCCCCTTTTGGTCATCATCCTGCGTTTTGGTCAAAATTCTTTACTTCGAATTGAGTATTGATTTTGTTGTGTTTCTGTTTTATTGCACTCTTTCATAATCTGATAAACTTAACACCCGCAACGATTTCGATCCTGCTACCAAAATACAATTTTTGTAGTGGGTCACTTTGGTATAGGATCCCTTATATGAAATCAAATTACACTTGTATTGGGTCACTTTAGTAACAGACCACTTTGATATCGGATCATTTTGGTATCTGATCACTTTGGTATCGGAGAACTTTGGAATTTGATCCGTTTGGTGTAGATCATTTTGGTATCGGATCTCTTCGGCACTGGCTCCATCTGGCATAGATCACTTTGATATCAGAGCACTTTGGTATCAGATCTATTTTGGTTTCTGGTACTTTGGTATCAGATCACTTTTGTATCAGAGCACTTTGGTCTCAGATCACTTTGGTCTCAGATCACTTTGGTATCAGATCAATTTGGTATCAGATCACTTTTGTATGGGGTCCCTTTGGTATTGAATTACATTGATATCGGATCACTTTGGTATCGGACCACTTTGATATTGGATCATTTTGGTATCTGATCACTTTGGTATCGGAGAACTTTGGTATTGGCTCCATCTGGCATAGATCACTTTTGTATCAGAGCACGATACAAGCCATTTTCGACCCTTCTCATTCTGTGAAAAACATGCCCGGTTTAGCTTGATTTCTCATGTACACACGTTTTGCAAAACCGAGTTTGCATCGGTACGGCCCATGTCTTGAAGCCTCATGTAACCACTCATGAAACCACTATTTTTTTCTTTTTTTCAGTATGTGTGCTCTTATACAGAAACGTCAAGTAAGAGCATACCTTTGGCCAGAGTTTATTTACAGTTTGACCAAAAGTGGCAAGGAACACAACCGTGCGGTCAAAATCCTTCACAATTTTACTTTGAAGGTATGAAAAAACTTTCTCATTTTTTTCAACTTTTCATAATATACAAAGTGTTTTTCTTTCAATTTTTGGCTTTGTTAGCGTAATTTGTGATTTGTTTCTTCTGTGACAGAATTTATATTTTTCGGCTTATTCAACAGTAACAGATGTATAGAGTTACGTTTTTAGTCAAAAGTTTGAAATACCCGTCCTAGAAAGAGCTATAAAAATCCAACGATAAATAAGTTTTTGGCTTTTTGTTTTATTTTTACAAATGTATTTATGTATCCTTTTGTATCTAACCTGTTGATAGTTTTTTGTTAGTTTATTTGTTTGAAGATATATAAATACTTGAAGCAAAATTTTCGTTTCACAAAAAAAGCAGTAGTGCCATATAGAAATATGCTTTAAACAGACAATGACAAAAGAAAATTGATTAATTTTTCTGGAATGCCTTTCATTTTTTCAATGAGGAGTCATCAGGGTTTTTAAAGAAATGAGCCTTTCTGTTTAAAATATTTAAAGTTAGTAATACTACAAGTAAATCTTGATGGACAGTTTCCATTCACTTTGTTCGATTCATCGTTTGAAATTATTTATGACTCTGTTCGAAATGTATCTTTTTCGTATAGGTTATCAAAGAAAAAATAAGTAAGCGGAAAATGAAAGAGGAAAAGGTTGTTGAGAAGAAGCGACTTTCTTTCTTGGATTTATTGCTTGATTGTCACGAGCGTGGCGAGATCGATGTTGAAGGCTTGAGGGAAGAGGTCGATACTTTCATGTTTGAGGTACGAAAAAGTTATGTTTTACCGCACGAAACTTTACAACACGAAAAATCTATTTGAAACTTTAAAGCACTAAAAGCAACATGCTGTCACTTTCCTATAATCCTACTGACTGGCAACGCAGATTTTTTATAATTCTACCAAATAGATTTAACTTTTATCCTTGCTTAGATCAAAAGTTAAATATTCGAAATTTCGACAGTTTGAAAAAATCTTTCTCTTGAAATTTGAAGACATCGGACGGTAATTTTATGCTGTTATTTCATATTATTCTGAGTTTGCATTCTTTAAATAAGCCTTTTTCAACTCAATTTGGACTGGTGGTCGAGGGATACAAATGTTTTTAACACTAAACCATTATTTTTTGCGTTTTCCTTAAAGAAAAAAAACCAAAGCTTTGCTTTGTATGACGAATTAATCTAATTTCACCTTACCTTGCTTTTAAGTATGTTTAGCCGATAACTTTTTAGATTAAAAACTACACATTTAGTCCAATTTTACTAACAAATTATTGAATTTGGTTTTAATATTCTTTGATTGCAATATATTTTTTTTCAAATTTTCCTACTTAGAATAGAATCTATATTTCTGTCTGCGTCTTTTAAGTCGCCTTGTTACAGATTGCTTCACACATGGTTATGTTATGAATAAAGAAGCGAGAATAATAGGACTTTCTCATTAAAATTTGTTTGTTTTCTTAACATAATTTCCTTATTTTCGCTGAGCCGTTAGCAAAACTTTTGCTAGTGAAGAATTGTAACAAATGCGTCAATGATATTTTTAGGGCCACGACACCACTGCGTCGGGCATTTTCTGGTCATTGTATCTGCTTGGAAGACATCCAGAGGTACTCAAGAAAGTTCAAGAAGAGGTTGATAGAGTTTGGAGTAAGCATTTAATTTATAGACAAATGTCAGTGTATATTTGATCAATGAATAACAGCTGACTCTCAGTATCAGTTTTCCAACTTTGCCTGTTTCAGAAACAGCAATGCTGTGTGATAACCTAGTGAGTGACGTGTGTTTAATATTTTGCTGCCACGGACATCCTTGGCAAAGATAATTCAGAATTCCACTTTTTTCGTTGATTCCAGGTAACCAAGGAAGCAAATCTTTTCTTGACATGTCCAAAGACCTAGAGTACCTGACTTGTGTTATCAAGGTAATACTCCTATTTCTATCTAACAGTTTTAATGAATTTGCGTCAATGGAGTATTGATAATCTCCTTGTCTTTCCAAAAGCTTATGTTGTCACCTAGACTTTCTAAGGAATAAATCGCTATTTCTATTAAAGTGGGACCTCTGACCTGATTTGAAGACATCGTCAGATAGTTCGTTAAACAACTCGTCAAAGCTGTAACAGAATCAAAACCACTTCTCAATATATTCTTTATTCACGCGATGCTCAAATATGTATCATTTTCGCTATATGATTCAATTTTGAAATTTTACTGAAAACCGTAATACAGTCCCAGGACCATCGCCTTTCAGATTCCCCTTTGTGCTTTTTTATGTAATGAACGTTTAAGGGCGACACAGTCTTGAGCTGAAAAGTAAAAAGATTTTTGAAATGATTAGATTCGATCTCCCGTGGTTTTTTCCTACTACGCACTTTTAGCGAATATGACTTTATTATGCGAAAGTTTTAAATTGCAGGAGAGTCTTCGTCTTTTCCCACCTGTTCCATTATTTGCAAGGGACACCCAAGATCCTGTCGACCTTGGTAGGTTTGGATGAAGTTTACTTTTTTATTCTGCGTTTGAGGGATACACTCTTTTTTATAAGAACAATTTTATAAGAACACGAGCCTCAAAATTGGTTAGAATTTAAGAACATCAGCTCCGATAATGAATAATGTTGAACAATGTTTCATCTCAAAGCCGAGATGTTTGTAATCTAGGGAGTCTTTTTCGGTGCATTTTCAAATTTGTCATCAAATAAAGACGCTTCACTCACTTTTTTGCAAAAGAGGCCTGTACACGTACATTGAGCAAAATAACTAGCAACTGCACTGCTTACACTCTTATAATTTGAGAACAAATAAGGAACAACCTAGCCTCAGGTTTTCTAAAAATAATGAGCAGCCAGCCTGAGCTTCAATTTACTGGTTCTTATAAAAAGGAGTGTAGGTTCGAATACAGATTCGTGTTTGAGCTCAGTTGTAAAGAGAGCTTCTTTCGCTGCGAGTCACTTTCTTTGAAACGCGAATTTTACCGGCCCTTTTTCAGCTGAGGTCAAATTAGTCGATCACAGCACTTTTTCTTCTTATTTCAAGATGTCTTTTGCACGTGTTTAAACTCATTCAATTGAGACAGAAATGGCGGGAGCTAGTCTTAACATGCAATTTAGCTTATCTTCATCCGTAACAAATATTTTCTGATTGTAACAGCTGAAGAAAGGCTAAGCGTTTCAGGTCAAGAAATTAAATTATCAACCACTGGAAAGAAATTGTTGTTATTTCTATTTTAATTCGCAGCTTTGTTTATGTATTCGAGTTGAAATTTCAAGGTCATTCAACCTGTAGCATGCTTAATGTCACAAAGCTAGACTTTCTTCCATAATAAAGCTTGTTTCTAGAATTGGTTCCCACTCTAAGTGGGTTCAAGTAGCTAGGTTTACCGTCTTTGGGAGACGAGTCTAAATTCCTATTGTTTACGGCCATTGTTCTATCCATTTGTCTAAACCAATGAGAAAGTGCACCATATAGGCATGCACATTAGGGGGATGGCAAAATTCACATCTAATGGCGCTTCACAGCATTAAAAAAAATAATATATACCATGGTTGCATATATAAACCAGGGGTTCGTTCTCACTTTTCTTATGACACCCATTTTTCTTAATTTTATTCGTCTTTTGATTCGAAACAACATTTGCAAATGACAACATTGACTTTAACTGCGCATGTGCATATGATGCAGAGTTCTGAAAAGCTGACGGTCTTTCAGAAATGCTAGTTCGTCTCCAAAACAATACAGTTTTTGATAACGATATTCGACAATTCAAATTCAGATGATATTATTTAGTAATAAAATAAAATCAATACAAACAGGAATAAAATCATTATCATTATGAATTAAAATGTATTATCATTGTAAATGTATTTCCAGAACGTTGAACCTAGGGATGTTCTATCAACTTTATGTAAAAATGTATATGTATTGCTCAATTATTTCATGTTGATCATAATTTGTGCTTTAGGAGACGGCCTAGTTCTTCCGGCAGGCTCAACATTTGGAATCGCAGCGTTTTTACTTCACCGAAACCCTGATTTCTGGGATCATCCTGATGACTTCATCCCAGAAAGATTTCTGGTTGAAAACTCCATCAAACGCCACCCATTTGCATATGTACCGTTTTCTGCTGGACCAAGAAACTGCATAGGTGAGCTTCTATTAAATCGTTGTTCGTGTTTTTTTTAGATTCTACTGACCAGCAATAATGCCAATTGTAGATTGGCCTAGCTAGTGCCGCTGCTGCATGGTCTGCAGTATTTCTTGGAAATAATTAGGGTACTTAAGCACCCTTAATCGCCAGCCTCTGAAATCCTTGCAATCTTGTGGAACAACTGCTGCTACGCATCCTTTAAAACTTCAATGTCAGTCTATAAGTTTATAATATAAGCGGCTTATCAAAGAATTCCAGCTTCCTATGCTTAACCTTTGTTTGAGTGTTTAATTATTTTTTAAGTCTGTGAATTATATTTAAATTTTCTCTCCTGGCCATTTCGATATCTTTTGAATTCACGTTTTTTTTAGGCCAAAAGTTTGCTTTATTGGAGGAGAAAATTGTACTGTCAAACTTTCTGCGCCATTACGACATTACCTCGCTTCAAAGTCCTGATGACCTCGATCTTTCTGCTGAAATCATTTTGCGTACCCAGACTGGTTTGTCAGTGAAAATTTCAAAGAGAAAGTAGAATGTTGAAGCTGCTATTTTGAAGTGTATGCCATTCAAGATAAATACCAACTATACATGATTGTATTTGCAGTTTGCTGAATTAGAACATGAAAATATAAAGAAATCTATAATTATGAAAAGTTTTAGAAACAGCTACAGTGACTAGATGCTGCCTAGAGTATGTTTAAAAGTAAAGAGGATGCTATAGATTAGATAACGCATTTACTTACGAATGATTTGGTTTATCATCCTTCTCCACGACTTACATGATTTTTCATGTAATTTTTATCATTTTCCAAAAAATAGAATTTTATGGTTTGTTTTACGTACAAAACTTTTTTTGCTATTTGGAAAGTGTTGTTTGGAAGATGATTGTTATTGAAAGAAACATAATTGAGCTGAGATTAAAAGCTCTTTTCGAGCAACAGCAGGCGTGTTTTGTTGTTTTTCTTCTGATTTGTAATACATATTATTTCCCGGTATGTTCCTCTTGACAAAAGCTACTTTGGTGTTGCTGTATCTGCAACACTGTAGGAGAAAATTGGCGCCAAACGCAAAGATTTGGAAAACGTTGAAAAATGGCTGTCTGAATTTCATTGAAACAAGAGGACATGGTTGATGTCTCTTCTGAAATGTCTCAGCCAAAATATGCAGCACCCGGTCAGCCATCGTCTTCGTGCATGATTACAAATTGTTACCATACATTTTGATAGAAGTGCTAGACACCAACAATCTTGGACATAAATGGAGACAACTTATACTGGAGACAAATATTTCAGAAAACATGACATGGCCTGGCTATTTGTTGGGAAAAAGCCAATGGGTCAATAAAGTATCCCAACCTTGTCAAGTTTGTTGGTTTTCTAGCAACATTCCCCTTTTTGAATGCGCCAGTGAGGAGGGTTCCAGTCCTCTAAAACTCATGAAAATTGACCGAAGAGGCTCCCTCAAGATTGCATCGCTAGTCTCCTGAATGCAAAGAAGATTTTTGCTGAAGGTGAATGGATCCTTTTCCACAGACTTTGTGCCAGCCATAGGCATGCCGGCCTTTCTGAATGAATGATAGCAAATGCAACTGAAAATAAAACATTAAAGAAACAATATCATTGCGAGCATTTTAGAAGTAAGTGTTTACGTCATCATTAGTTTTTGAAAATGTGTTTTTCCATGGTTTATAAAAAAGCGTACGTGAATTTCTTTGTCAATCAATCATCATATTCTTGTACTTAGAGGAATTACCGCCAGGTTTCAGATAACATTCGCCAGGAAAATGTATACCGCAAATCCTTGAATATTCCCCCTCGTATAAGCCCATCTCGAATAAGCCCCTACCTTTAGAAGCCAATTTTGCATTTTCATGAGCCCTCGTGTTTGCTTAAAGGAGAACTCACACACAAAAGTGATTTTCTCTTACTATGGGCAGAATATGTCGCTTTCAGTCATTTTTTTATGAAACAAAGGTTAAAATTGAACACTCCAGTTTCTTGTCGCTTTGGAAATTTCAATATTCTTTTTTTAAGAGTTTCGTAACTTTATTTATTTATTTTTTTGAATAAACATTTATTTTAACAATGGCTTCCTATATTTTTTCCTGAGAAAAAATTTCCTTAAAGAAATTTATCTGAAGGATTTAAGTCCGAAGGAATGACATTTCAGTTGAATAACTTGATTAATATGGAATTCTTTACATTGTTTTAATTTCTTTCACGTCTTCTCAATTTGGTGGTCATACATCCTCACTCATAGCTACTTTTTGAAAGGATTCTTGCTGCATTTTTTGCCCCTTGGGGTAACTTCAAAAGTCAGAGAACTGGGGTGTGCCATTTTGAAACATCAAAGCATACCTTGAAATGTATAAAAATTTCCAAAAACCATACCCCAAAATTTAGATACAATATGAAGTGCATCCGCTTAAATTGAATTCAAAAGTCCATCAACTCGATCAAGTGAATGAAAACATATTACCTTTCGTTCAAGAATGATATCCCCAAATGATTTATTTTCTAAAGAATCTTGAATGGATGGGGGGCCTTTTTGTCACTGTAAACCTTGTCTCTGTTTTTGTCCCTTGTCTCTGTTTTTGTCTTTATTTCCAAACAATATTTCCTATGATGGAAAAAGGTTAAAACTTACCATTTGAGAGCATTAACTTGAGAGATCACTGTATGGTTTATCAGGGTTGTAAGAAAAAATTGTCTGACGAAAATTAATCAGAAAAATGTTTATTTGCTGTCAATAATTCTCCCGTTCCCTCTTATAGTTTTTTGTATGTTTACATGTCTCACTAGGTTAGCATATATTTTTGTTTGAAATGATTCAAATTCTCCTATTTTTTATCGAAAAGAGCTGCTGATGAAAACTATAAACTGGTAGCTATTATGAATGTTGCAGTTATCATTGAATTATCTTCTTCATCCAATCTTCATCTCTGGTGCTCCAAGCCATATAAAGTCGATCCTGTCAAAGAAAAGGGAGAACGTGTCCCCCCCCCACTCTTGCGCTGCTACTGGACAAACCATGCCTTTAAATGCACTATGCTTAGTGAAATCTACGCACTTAGAAATTGTGACCTATTTGAAACAAATGACATACTTTGGTGCATTGATTTCTTGACATAGTGGAACATTGCAGCAAATCTTCGAAACATTGCATAAACCCTAACTTTACAAAATTGCTTAATCTTTTGCTTCTGTTCATTGTTCTTTTATTGATACTCAAATGTTCCTGCTTTATTGCTTATGTGTGTTTCATTTATTTCATTCATAGTTGATTTGTCAATGCGTTTGAAAGAATTCTAAAACTTTGGAAGGCCTTTCATATTTCAACATTAAAATCGATAAAACTGTGAGACCTTTTGATAAAAGAAAGTTTGAAAATATTTCTTCGAACTATCTCAAAATCCATTTCAAAAGCTGTTGCTGGCCATTCCTAGACAGCAGCGGTTTTAGGGACTGCGGGGCCCGAGACCAAAAACATCTGCGGCCCCTTGTTCTTTACAATTTCTATTTTTCCCCTTCTGGCTACCATAAGGGCGGGACTTGGGGCCGTGACACCCCTGGACCCCCTTAAAATCTCCACTGACTCAGAATACCATATCTCTAAAACTATTCTTGTCTCCAACCATACTGGCTGCCTTAACTAAACACATTCACGGTCGTCACATCTCACAAAATACCCTTCTTCGTCCCAGGATATTGCCGACAAATATTGTTATTCGTCATGAAATCATCATGATGAAATCGTATTTCTCTAAACATTGATTTTTGAAATAAATTTGGTGGGTGTTCTTTAAAATATTACCTGCAATTTTCAATTTTTATAGATATTTTTAGCAATCCTTTGTCACTGAATTACAATTGTCAATTACACAACTATTAGTGCTTTTTAGGCCCTTGCAGAAACTGGTGAGCCATTCAACATCTGCAGCTATGCAACCAACTTCACTCTAGACAGCATATGCGGTAAAAAAATTTGCAAATATATTTCTTTGTTGTTCTACGTTGCCTTTCCTTATTTCAATTCTGAAAAATGTTTCAGGGCATATAGAAATTTGTAAAATTATTTTAATAAAATATGTTGGACACATGAACTAAAAATGTTCAGATTCTAGCAACTATGGATTGCCAGAAAGCATGCAGGGATTTTAATCTATTTGAACAGTCAACGATGAGTTTTTTCTAGCCAATTACGCCACTTATATATTTCTAGCACATTTTAACTTTACGAGCCAATATTTACAAAAAACAATGTTTACAAAATGTCTGTTGAAGTTGAAGTTATTGGTCATTAGAGATAAAAAGCTTTTATTCAAATTGTCAATGAACTGTCACTTAATCTTATCGGAGAAGTCTTTGCCTAGATTCATGTTATCATCATTTGGTAGCTGAACAATAACTTAATGCTGGTACAAGCGATTCACAGGAAATTTGATTACTTTTTTTCTAACTGCATTGAACCATATTTGATATTTTAAAAAGCACCGATTGCTTGGAAAGCTAACTTGAACATCGGTACTATAATCAGGTTCTTCGTTGCTTTATCGTATTTCTTGGTTTATCGCGATATTTGCATGGCTTTATAGATAAGCTTTTGAAGACTGTTGTCGGGTTCTCCTATAGCTGTCAAGCTTCTAAATCTGTATTGAACCATCTTACAAAATTATCAACTAAGGCTGTTATTGTTAGAATACATGTAAACCTTTTTGCGTAATACGCGAAAAAGAGTATTAGTTGTAATATGAACAAACGTGACTCATATGGTATTAGGTCGCTATCATCAACGGGTCGGTATTATTAACAGATCGGTATCACAATTTAAATTTTGTACTTATAGAAGATAAGAATAACGACGTTTGTTTATCTGGTCGCCATCATGGAAGATATTCATGTTTCGGACGGCCCTAACAACCTCCTTACAAGTCGAAGGTTCTAACGGAGTTACTCTTTGTATGTGCATTAGCTTTCGTTCTTTAAATAAATAGCTACCCCTTTATACGATTGTATTTTAGACTACCAAATTTAAACGTGATATCGTGCATTCGACTTCGCAGCATGTGTGCTCAAGTCCAGCACTGCCAGGTACGCATGTTCTTTTGGCCAGTCTTCGTTTACAACTGGACCAAAAAAGGCAGGGAACATAACCGCACTATAAAAATCCTTCACGAATTCACTCCCAAGGTAAGATTCATTTGAAGCTCGCTCGAACTCTTTATCTAATGAAAATCACCTGCTTGCTAAGATATTAATTGATAGTTTCTCAAGTTATGAAATATAAGTAATTATATCAATGTTTGTTCACCTTTTGATAAAGCATCTATGAAAAGTTACTAATACAGAAATCTATGCTTGCACTCTTTGGGATATCTTCTCTTTTCCTGTTTTGTAGGCAAGGGCTTATTCCGAGAAGAAATCTCATTAACTCTTTTTGATATATTGATTGATGATGTCAAACTTGTGTTGTATGCTGGCGGTGTCGTTGTTAAGACGTAGGACTCACTTTCCAAAGACCGTGAGTTCTAGACCTACACCTACAAATTGTGAGTACAGCACCCTTTGGCAATATTTTATCATTAATGTTGCCCCCCTCTCACCTAGAGTATAATTTGGTACCTTGTTCGTAGCCAGGTGCTCTGTCTGCTGCTACACCCTGCTAACTGCTCTTGAGCATAGTGACGAAAGGGTATTGTTTAATGTCAGTACAGTAACCCTATACTATTAAGAGTGGTTAATAACAGGCAATAAAACCAGAACTTTTCTTCACTTTTCCTATATGACATTGTTTTTGCTTCATTTAGATAGTTTACTTCTGACGACAGTTATGATTTAGAATTATCTTCTTATAGGCCATTAAGGAAAAAATTTGTAAACGAAAAGAGAAGGCCGACGATACCGAGAAGAGAAGACTTTCATTTTTGTATAAAGCATTGGATTGTCATGAGCGTGGTGAAATAGATATTGAAGACTTACTCTCATGTTTGCGGGAGGAGGTGGCTACTCTCATGTTTGCGGTATGCCCAAAAGGCGAGATTTATTGCAATAAAACGACTTCTAAAACTCTAGCTTTTCTTCTCATTTCAATTTGATTGTTGTTATGTCAATACTTATATATGCTTTAAGGCATCCTGTTTTCATTATTTTCCATCTTCTGCTCGTATTTGATTTTCATGAAGAGGATTAATAGAAATATATCATTTGAAATTGTTTGCATTTCAGCGACATGACGCTACTGCCTCCATCATATTCTTCACGATGTATTTTCTTGGTAGACACCCACACGTTTTGCGAAAGGCTCAAGAAGAAATTGATAGTCTGGAGTAAGTAAGGTTTCTTTCTATCCTTTGACATCTACTTTAATACTTGTCTTGTGTTCTAAATAACAATTACATTTTCTGTAAATATCATGATGTTTAATGTGAACTACGTAAGTCCTGTGATATCTAAATAGATTACAATTTATTTTTTCGTTTGACAAAAATAAATTTTTGTGGTCAATTCTTCTTGACATGGCAAAAGAGTTGGTTTTTCTAACATGTGTTGTCAAGCTTGGTCTTAGCATCGAATTTAAGCTTTTTAATTTGGTATTTCTTACCCAATAGAGTAGTGAAGTGGTGACGCCATAATTTCTTGTAAATATTTTAATTTGAACCACATGATACATATCGTGGTCAATTTTTCATATTCCTTTCACATGGAAGGAGATGATGGCCAAGCCTTTTAAAGCTACCCTAGCAACCAACTCTTTTCTCTGCTAGGTAGGAAATGTGTGATTGCCCTTAGAAAAACCACGATTTATGGTTCATTTTTGGTCGTTCTTTTTACAAGGGCATTTTGTAAGGAAAGTACAATGCCGCAACCTCATTTGATTGAAAAATCGAAAAAATGGGACGGCAACGTTTTAGCAATCTTTCCGCGAGATTTTATTCAATATTCGTTACTACTTAGTGTTCTGAGACATGAAATATTTCAATCGCAGGAAAGCTGAGTCCACCTATTCCTTTTATTGTAAGAGATACAGGGGCTGACATCAATTTAGGTATGACCAATTACAACCAGGCAAATATTCACTTTTTTGAATTAAAATATAGGTACTAGCATTTTCGGTCCGTATTCACCCTGAGCGTACATCGCAGGTCTCCAAAGTCTATATACACTTTACTGAGTTTACGCTTGTTTTATCAGCGAATATTTTCACGCAAGAACGCAATTCTAAGCAACACCGCTAGTTAATGATTTTATCATGGACCTATGCATGTCAGCTGAGCTTTCTGTCTTTAAAGGCTCATGTGCAACCAGCATGCTTTGCGACTATATTTTGAAAACCGGCCTAAACCATGGCACTAAATTTGCCGTCCGGCCCATTGTTTTATTCGATTCATACAACTTTTAAAATTTTCTGCGGATTTAAGTTCTTTAACGTTAGTTGATAGTGTCTTTAACGGTTGAAATAAATCGAGCTCATGAGGAATTTCCTTTACTTTTTCAAATAGGTATTATTATGGTAATTGATCAATGCAATGTAGTCAAGTATGTAATGAATGAGTAACTATTATGATAATTATTGTCATACCGATTGTACAAACCTATATACCTAACTGAACATTTGTTGTTTTTTGCCGATTGATTGACTTATGCAATTATAATTCTACCTCTACTCATGTCTTTACATTTCTACTTTTGTCCTGCAAGTGGCATCCACGAAAAGCTTTTATCGCTACACTTTGCTCATTTTCTGAGAGTCGTCGTTCGCACTTTAAAGCGCTGTACGTTATTTCAATTTGACATTTGACAGAAAAAAATGATTACTTTTGAGTGTTCAATCATTGGTTGCTTTCGCAGGAAATGGTCGTATCCTGCCAGCTGGTTCCACATTCGGAATCTCAACTTTCTTTCTCCATAAAAACCCAGATTTTTGGGATCAACTAGAAGATTTCCTTCCAGTGGATTCTTGATTGAAAGTTCAATCAAATGCCGCCCGTTTGCATATGTACCATTTTCAGCTGGTCCAAGAAACTGCATAGGTGAGTTTTTCAAGGCCAAAGTCTATCACTTGTAACTAAGTTAGGTCATGATGGAAGTAGATACAAGACAGTCGAACTTGCTTTTTTAATTTTCAACTCTTTTTATTTGAATTTTAACTTATTCTGGTAAAGACAAAACCAACGCAATTCATATCTAGTTAAAATATTATCTTTATCAAATCATATTTTAACGTGCCCTGAATCGTGATCTTTCCTTGTAGGCCAAAGGTTTGCTTTATTGGAGGAGAAAATGTTGCTGTCAAACTTTCTGCGCCATTATGATATTACCTCGCTACAAGACCCGGAACAAATCGATATGTCCGCTGAAACAATTCTTGGTACACGGAATGGTTTGTCTGTGAAAATCTCTCAAAGAATGGAATTTTGAAGCAGCTTTGATGTGTGCTTGAAACTGCTTGCAGAAAATCTTGATCTACAGTCGTATCTAAACTGGCTTTTTTAATTCAAGAGTTACTGAAAGACAATGGTGTAGTGGAGGGGTAGCGCGGTATAATGCCTTTATACTTCCTCAAATGTTTGAGCTGCAGCGTTATCTTCCTCAAACGTACCTAGACAAACAGTGGCGGTATGTTTCTTAAAGATTAGTACAATACACCAAGCAATTTTGATCAAACAATATAGCAACTAAATTCACGACAATATAATGACTTTTGATACTTGTTTCACCCTAGGTTCAAGTGAGTATGAAGTTAAGGAATGTCATATCAAGATATCCATTTTTTGCACATTTGCTTATGTAGGCTGCGCATGCGTAGTTCGGAGGACCTTTTGCTGATGATTGTATGCAGCACCGTATGAAGGTTAGAATCATAAGTAGGTCCCTATTGTTTGAGAATAGTAGGACAAACGGTAATATTCATTAGAAAGAAATGTTTTTCAAGTCTTTGGGGGGAGGCATGAGCTCCCCTGAGAACAATTTTAGTTACGGTGCTGGTTGTACGTGAACAGAAAACAGAACTAATGATTATGGTGGATGGGTTGCCCGCCTGTCTGTGTGGAGTTGTTTGTAATCCTTTAATGAAACTGGCTGCTCTGTATTTGTTGTGTTTTAACCATATATAGAAGTTTTAAATAAATTGCATAATTAGCATAGTTCGTAAGCTATGTGGGTTTTTTCAAAAATGGAAAAAACGAGAAGGGAAATACGTTTTGTAAAATCATGTCGACATTCGTAAGTTTAATTTTATTGGTGACTTTGGTTATACGATATAAGTTTTTACTGTAGGTGAGAAAGTAGTAAAACAGAAAATTCAAAAGCTAATACGAATTCTCGAAGAATTACACAAGGAAAGAAGAAAGGACGTTAATACTGAGATACATAGAATATTACATGACTGGAAACCCATTAGAGAAGGTATAAGACACTGTAGCACTTAGACAGCAGCGGAACAATCTGTCAAGAATGACAAGGGTTAATAAAAATAAAGAGTAGACAGGAAGGTGCTAAAAAATTAATACCATCAACGATCAACGATCGAGCTGTGGCAACCGATAGAAAAGAACAGTTGAAATGGAACACATCATCAGCCAAAAATTTTAGAGACCGTAGTTTTGATAGAGAAACCTAGATAAATCCTTCTTGGATCCATGTCTGCCTGCGATGATTGCTTGCCTATTGCTGAATTCAGATTCTTGTCTCTTTGGCTCTCATTATTTTTTTCTGACATACAAACAGGGTTGCTGCTGTGACACAAAAAGCAAAAAGTTTTTTGTCCAATAACCGAGTCTTTTGCCTTTAGTCCTTAGGGCAAAGAAAAATACAGACTCAGCTTGGTCAATCTAAAAGAGCAGCTTAATACATTGTCAAAAGCCTGCTGTCAATTTACACGGACAAAGTCAATTGTCAAGGAAACTTGTCAAGGAAGAACTGCTCCTGCAGGTAGGGTTTGAAGATTTTCAATTTTAAATACCGCTTAATTCAAACTTAGATCCTGAATTAAGACTTGCGTGATCATCTAAAATTTATTGGATGAATACGGGAATGGGTGTGAGCAGCTTTCCTACATGTTGCAAACAGAAATTTAGGAATCAGCTAATAACTACAAAGCGTAAATAGATTCATAGCTATCTTCCTGAAAATCTAAAGGTTTGCTTTAATTTCAGGTGAATGGTTCTCCAGACAAAGATCAATGCTTGATAAACGAAACACTTGCATAAAGAAAGTGATTTGAAGTGATAAGGACAACCACATCAAACATCATCCAGCAGGTGCAATGACATAGGTTTGATTGGTAAGCATCGCATGGTTTGTGTTAAGCAAGCTTCCGACTGAATGGCATCAGGCATTTAAGCCTATCCAAAAACAAGCAATTTATGATCATATTGGTGAGTCGATGAATATGTACAGTCTTTTCATTGCAATTCAAAAGCATCTAACGATAATTGACCGCACAGATCAGGGAAAGTTTGTTTTGTCTAGATTTGCTCAACTATAATGACAACAATGATTTTCATGGAAAATGCATACTGATGAGACTACACAGCAGTAAAATATTTTTAGAAGATATTCATGGCTGTTCAAAAGCATTGAAAATATCAGTTTCGTGAATAGTACTAGTTTTTGTCATTAAAACTCAATACCAATGGAAGAAATGTGTTGATATAATTGTGCTGATTTTCTACTTCTTACATTGTAAAAAGGGACATGTGCCTTATAAATATTTCTTGAATTGAACGGCAGGAGATTTATTTCTTTATTCAAAACTTCTGATGAACATCTACAACTGTATATGCGTCAAGTCTGATTCTTTCATGTCTCCAATACATTTGATTATCAGCAACATTTTTTTTTCTTGTTACGTAAATGAAACAATAGTGAAAATACAATAAGCATCCTTTTTGTCACAAAAAAATCGACATGTGGTAAGAGATAAAAATCAATGATGTCACTTGCAGTTACTTATCGGTGCCCAGTAGATGCAATCTTAATGCATTTATAAAAACATGTGATGTGGCATTAGCATTTTCTATCTTTTGATGCTTCTGATTTTGTTTCTGATTGTGGAGCTGCCAGAAAAGAAAACAAAGTTTCTTTAATTGAAAACAATTGCATCAAATTATGCTGCTTCACAGTTAAATTATCTCAAAATTTTCTATTCACTAGTCTGTTGCTCAAATGAATCATTTTCAAAACTGTTTTGTTAAAGACCAAGCTAGGCTGCAAGCAAAAGTATCAATCTTTTATTCAAAATTTTTAATTATTCATCAAAGTCTGTCAAATATCGTCAGCTGCTAATCATTTTGTAAGCAATTTTTATCCATAGTTCTGTCTTCTGAAGATTTTATCGCAAACATATCATCATATATTGTCTGTTGTGTGCACGAGAATAAGGCCAAGCTGACTTCGCCAATTAACAAACATTTGTACAAGATATCTGCTTGTTCGATAACAACCCAGGTTTTTGTCAAATTTGTAAAAAAATCGTCTTTGATAATAGAAATAATGCCAGCCAATCAAACAGGTGAAACTTTACAGTCTCAAAGGCATAGATACAACTTGAGGCAATAGCATGACTTAGTAAATGACTGCCCGACATAAAAAAGCAAAGACGAAATCAGTTTCAAAGCATAGCTGAAAGAGAATTTCGCTGAGTAAGCTTGATAGAAATCTTACGGTGCTCGTGAATCCGTAAACAAAATTAGCAGGCTCGCCGTAGATTATTTTTCGTCAGAAAGTTCTAATGTTCTTTTTTCATCCAAAGTATCTCTTCATATTAGGTTTTTGAGGGAAAATTTAATTGAATGACTTTAAATTGTTCATCTGGAAATATATTGTGGAAATGCATCTTAAGACTAATGTTTGTACGCGTTTCAAACTTGCTTGATACAGTTTAATGTTGATGACATATGACATATTGGCAAGTAGTACACTTGATATGTTCCCTTCACTCAAGGAGCTTTTAGCAACTTGATATGAGCACCTTGGATACTTCAAGTCTGTCGGTGAAGTACAATGTATTAATAGATTATGCCACTGGCTGACCACTTGTTGTTACGAAGCATGAGTAGCTTCGTTTTAATTGCCTTGAATAGCCTTATAAGCATGAAAAATATCATTTAGCAAATCTGAACGGATTAGAAATTTAATGAATAGCTGGTTTGCATTGAAAACATTTTATAGTTTTGAAGAGATAAATTTTTTGTTTCTTCGTACGAAAGTGTAAATATTGTGTTTCTTCATAGTTTAAAATAGCTATCAAACATTGCACAGTCTGCAAAACGACTTAGCGCACATTCATTCATTGTTTGTGATCAGCAATGAGTGGTATCGTGCTTTTAATGGCGATCACGTTACTGATCTTCTTTCTTATATTCTCATAAAAGTTTACAAACAAGGACGATGCCACAGGGAGCATGGAAATACACAACAACTCTGTGACCATTACATTAAACATGTTTTCTTCAAATAAGAATTACATTTACGTTACAAATAACACTTACATTAATAAAGTTAAACAAAATACTGACAAAGTAAAAACAAAGAAAGCCAAATTACATAAGAGAGAATATTTCTAAAAGTACGTATTGAAACCTTTCAAAGGTCTGAATACATTTGAATGGTTTGTTTCAACCCATAGGGTTGCAATATCGCCTTCACATTGTCGAGAGATCGCATCTATCTGTATCATAACACAGAATAAATCTCTATTCTGTGATCATAAGCATAGAAAAGCAACAGAAAGTGCTCCTTATTCTCAATACCATGATTTACTGGGCATAAAGAATTCACTGAAGCTATGTTTGAATTTGTGAAAATTCAGCTTGTCAAGTCCAACATGAAGTTGTGTTGAAGCTTATAAACCTCAACCTTATCATGGCACACGCCACAGGGGGAAAAGGGACCATTGTCACCCCACATTTTTGTTAATAAAAGACTAAAATCAGCTGAAAGTATTGACATACATAAACATTTAGATTACATAAAATACAAAGAACCAGAGCCAACAAATAAAACCACGTCAGCAAGATAATTGCCATATTAACCGGGGCTTAAGAGGGGAAGAGGACACTTACTTTAAATTTCTGACCCCTCGAGTTTAGGATCAGTGGCGTGGGCTCTGATTTTAGGATCAGGGTCGCGACCACAAAAGATCATCAAAAGTAGCGATTAGTGTAATGCAATACCAAGTAATATTGTTGATATGTACAACTACTACTGTCAGAAATACCAACACAGCTTAATATTATGTTGAATTGCAGCTAATATTATGTTGAAGATGATGATCAAATGCATGCATGTCCAGATAAATTAACAAATTCTTTTAACAAGTGCCGCGTGTTTCATACGCTGAGACGCTTTTCAGCTCAACAGGAAACAAGGAAGAGATTTATCTCTAACGGCAAATGGTTCTATTCTAATGAAGAACTGAGCATCTTATGTATTCAGGTTATTAACGCCAGCTAGGTTGTACCTAGGTTGTCATCACAAAAAAGTTGAGACAGCTGCTCAGAAAGTTTCACCTTTGTTTTCTTTGCATTGTCCGATTAACAATAAGCTTTGATGCAAATACTTTGAATTATAAAGAGAACTACACTCACTTTTTGCCTTGTCTGTATTACAAGTGCCTGCAGTTAGGAAGTCTATGGACACTTTATTTAGCAGACAGACTTTTAAACGCTTAGCAAAATTTGCAAGTTTTTCATGGGTTGGTGATAGCTAAACTTCTAGGCGAGCAAGAAATGATCCGCTGAATTCCACCGAAGCTCTTGTCAAAGAAGTTGCTTAACGCAAGTTTCAATGCAATCTTGAATAGTACGGGATTCTGTAAGACAACTTAAAGATTTATCATACATGAAAAAAGGCGCCCTAAGGTAAATTTTTGTATTTTCATAGTTTATTAAGAGCTTTAAGGGATCATTGCGACGCATATTTGTTAATTTTTAAGCGTTTTGCTAAAGTACCCAGAAAATATTTTATACTATGCATTTATGCGCCATTATTTGTAGATTAGACTTATTTTCGCCTTCAGCTACTTTCAAGAGAAAAGTGTGATATAGATATCTATGAGAAAAGTGAGTAATATGAATTTACTAAAACTATGATATACGACAGTAACTGGAAAATTATTGAAAGCTTTGAAGCATTTATTCTACTAGAAATATGCGTCAAATTTTACACAATAGTTTAAGATAATTCAAAACGTCATGAAAGTATAAGCAGCATAAACAAATCAAGCATCTAAGCTGCTGGTTGAAGAGCTGAAAAAAGCTTTTGAATCAATGCAAAATATCGTGAGCTTCATTAAATGGCTATATTTCAATCAGAATCGTAAGGAAAGGAACATTTTTATATTTGCTAAAGAAGCCTTTATGTAAGTTAGAGTACCAGATATAAAGTTTAACTTGTAAAGAAATGCTGCAGATGTTCATTTGGAAACCCTTGAACAGGTCTGCTTCTGTTGCAAATCCGAGCTTCAGGCCTAACACAATTATCGGGCAACTGTAAAATTTCTCACTTCAACTGTTATTAGTTGTCTTAGTCAAAGAAGAAAAAGGCCAGATTGAATGTTGTCTCCTTAGGATTCTAAATTAAATTCGTCTTGATCTTTCATTTCTTTTTTATATGTCTTTAGAAGTTTTGCAAATGAACAAATGACCTATTTCTTTGACAAAATACCAGAAGCTTTATCTCGCAGACCTTAAGAGCGGCCATACAGTTCTCTCATGAAATTGCATTTACAGTCGAACCTCTAATAGCGGCCACTTTGAGATCCAAGGCCTAGTGGCCGTTAATGGGAGGTGACCGTAATTCGGAGGTTTGCTATAAACATTCACAAGCGCTTGTGATTGAAGGTCTGTGGCCACTATTGGGAGGTGGCTGCAAATCGGAGGCGGTCGCTATTAGAGGTTCGACTGTAGTTTGGTTAGGATGAAACTGAACACCAACAGCCAACAGCTCAAATATGCACTTGCTGACCCTCGTGGCATTTGCTTATACTTAAAGAGATTTTGAGTGTGAGTTAGGAGAAGTTGAAAATTACTTTTTCAGGCAAGCACATTAAGAAAAGAAAAATTCTAAAATAGCTTTCACAAGAACTGGCTTAAGCATAATTTATATTTCTAACGACAATTCATTGAATTGCTTGTATGTCACAGTGACCTCATCTGTTTTGCAGACTCATCCAGTAATATTAGACAGAACTTTCTTTGGCATTGTTTCTTTGCAGCATTGAACAATTGAATGGACAAAAAATGTCTTTTAGAATCCTCACGGTTAATGATTTTTCCAGCAGTTGATGTTTAGGCTAACGGATAAAATTTAATTTTCATTCATGCTAAACAACACTCTGAAAATGCGTTTTAATACAAGTCAAGTTTTTAGCAGGTAGCATAATTAGAATCCAGGACAGAATAGAGTTATGAAGCAGCTTTGAATCATTTGATGAATTTTGGAAACTATTTTGAATAGGGTATCTAGATTACATAGTTTTCGCAGCGCTGGAATAATTTAATGCAATGCAGGTGTCTAAAATTTGTTCGCAAAGTGTTGGCGAAAGGAAATTTATAGATTTGTTTCAAATGTTATTTTGAAAACGGATAAATTTTGGGACCTACTGTCAGAATAAGCGTGTATGGTTTTGAATTCAGCAAAATGTTCGTCTTTATACTATCTTTGGGGTAGGGTACAAAAACGCAGGGTAACTCAATATAATTAAACATCATTTAAATAAGATTTTCAATGTGATGTCAAATAATTTATTTATTCAACAGAGCAATGAACCAGTCGTCTTTCATATGTGCAGCAGTTAAGACATTTTGGAAATTTAGTTACTTCTAAGAATGGCAAAAGTAATAATAGTGATTTCTTGAAACTTAAGATTTACATATGAAACTTAAGATTACCCAATATTTATAGACAAATTATCATTAAAATGTTAAATATTATGAGAAAAGTCTGGCAATTTAAGAAAAACTATTTTTAACAAAAGAAATTTTTCAGCAAATAACCAACCGACTTTACTAGGAAGCAATCAAATCGAGTTCTGTCATAACGTTATGTACTGATAAACTCGGCGTAAACATGAATTTGCATACGAATGGGATTGTTTCATATCCAGATTTTGTCCAATACAGGACCATATCGCCAAACCTTTGTTCTGCTTTGGGGGTTGAACCCAGTTTAGTTCTGACTTTTAAGCAAGAAGTAGACATCGATGATAGTTATTCATTAATTTGACTTTAAAATTACGTTGATTTCTTATGAATTCTTTATTACATTCATTGATCAGCTTTGCAAACAAAGAGCATGAGCCACACTAATGTATTGTAAAGCGGTTGCTTAGACCAAACAAAACACAATACGATTGGTCCTAAATAGTTGGCTTAGCGTTTAGTGCGCTAGTCATAGCAACGTGTACTAGTCGGCTTATGTGGACATTTTGCATGCAAACGCGAGAAAACATTAGTTTATTTTTGCACAGAATCAGTGGATTAATAAAAAATTCGCCAATATGATTCGCCGATATGCACCAATTCGAGATCAACTCTTGCTTAATCTCGCAGCTAGCCTTTGGGTAATAATAAAAAAAGAGCATCCAAAAACAAAAAAACATCAAAACGTAGATTTCTGAGCTGGTTTTGAGCATAATTCAGTGCAATGATGCCCAGAGCAGATGTAGGGCGTAAGATTTTGACACATAAATTCATAATCAGCCCAGCAAAACCACATCATTTATTCAAGCTTACCCACTTTGAAGGAAAAGCTTCCCATGATAGCAAGAGTCTAGAGGACACAAATTGAGAGCTTAAGCCCTTAAAAAGTGGAGCAATGCACAGCAGACAGGTTGAGAAACTTTTTCATGCAATCGTTAAGTGAAAATTTTAACATGATGCCAGCAAGGCTAAAAACCCACAGTTCACAGCATCACTTTTGGTCCTTTAAACACTTGATGGTCAAATACAAACATGCAGTTAGAACGGCATTGCTCCTCCCAATCACTCAAACTGAGTTTTGTTCAAATAAAGCGAATCACTTATTACAGTTGAATGACAGGGGAAAATATTTGTTGCCATGCTACTGGTAAAAAAGCAAGTAAAATGAATTGTATATTTGGTTTTGCTGAGATTAAGATTATCGTTTTTCTTCGTTTTAGATGTTTATACTTCACGAGCTGGGTCAGATGGGAGATAAAAAGGAGCGAGAAAATCTTTTTGCAACAGTAAATGGAAAAATTGATCCTCGCAACATGGTGGGAGAGATAAAACTGTCAGATTTCAGCAAAGTCAAGCAGATTGAGCTCCTTTCTAAGGAAGAAGATGATAATGTAGATTTTCCAGACGACGTGCAATTCTTGGACGAGATATCTTCATCAGAAGATCTCCTAGATGGAAATTATATTCATCCTTCTGGCTCTTCATACCAACTCTTGCAGCAGAAGGAAACTTCACCCTGTTTAAATGGATCGAGTAACTTGTCTCTGGAAGATCAAGTAGAGCAAAAACTCAGGGAAGGAGACGGCATCTCATTAAAAGATAATGCTAATTGTGTTGATCGACATGAAAAAAATACCTCCTGCACTAAAAACAACAGAAAAGAAATAACTGGATACAGGAGGGCAGGAAAAATGACACAAGTTTCAAAAGAGGTCGTTACTGGAAAGACAAAAGAGAACGGAGCAAATGAAGAGGATTTTGTCAAAGAAAACCATTTACTTGAATCATTAGTTGATTCCAAGAAGTGCCAGCCAACTGAAAATTTCTTGGAAACATCGATAGGGAAACGAAATGCACACATAAACAGATCGATGAGGCTGATTCTGAACGTCGGTGGAACGCTCTATGAGACGTTTGAGAACACTCTCGCCGCTCACCCGGACACACTTCTTGGAGATCCGGAACGACGCTTAAGATTTTACAACCCGAGTATCGATCAATATGTTTTCAAAAGGCACATAATTTCATTTGATGCCATTCTATTCTATTACCAATCAAAAGGCATTCTTTCAAAGCCACAATACATCGATCAAACAGCATTTGAAGAAGAGCTAGAATTCTTCGAAATAACATCAAAGAGAGGATCTCGCAGTAGATTCGTCAATCGGCGGTGGCAAAAGCCATTGCGTTCAATCTCGTTACGAAGAACACCGAGGAGGATGCTGCACAACGTCTTCAACCGTCCATTTTCCTCTACTTTGTCCTCAGTTATTTCATTTCTTACAATTTTCGTAACATTAGTTGCAACTGTAGTGTTTTGCATTGAAACTCTGCCACGCTTTCGACAGCCTCATGGCACGCACCTCGAAACAAATGCCAGATCAACAGTTGCTACTCAGAATAAGCATCGCAAAGTTTTGGTTGTGATTGAGATTGTTTGCATTGGTTTCGTTACTTCCGATTACCTCATCAGGCTGAGTATCGCCCGTGGCCGTTTGAGATTTATCATTTCTCATTTAGGAATCATTGACCTGATGACTTTAGTCCCTTTTTATCTATCCTTAGCATTATCAAGTCCTAACAATCCTAAACAATTGCAAAATTTTGTTGCCCTTTTACGACAGCTTCGCATACTACAGGTTTTTCGGCTAGCGCGGTACAGTTACGGTTTTCGGGCACTTCTTCATACTGTTTCAAAAAGCCTTTTACACCTTGGATCGTTCATATTTGTGATTCCAGTGATGAGTATGTTTTTCGCATCAGTGTCATACTTTGCTGAGGATAATTTCCACGACGATTGCATTCATTCTTGCAAAAAGCTTCAAAGCATATCTGACTGGTTCTGGTACTCGGTAATCACCATTACGACTGTGGGATACGGAGATGTTTATCCAAGAACCATTCTTGGCAAACTAGTTGGCGCTATTTGTGCTTTGTTTGGTGTTATACTATTTTGCTTGCTCACGCCAATTATCTTTCGGCACTTCGTCGAGAACTATTACGTCAGAGAGCTTATGTCCCAGAATATCAGTGCAGAAAAACGCAAGCTAGCAGAAAAAGTCAGGGAAATGTATTATGAACAGTATGAAGTTCTGTGACATGTTACCAATGACTATCTTAGCGTGTATTCTGTTACTCCTTATTGCTTTGATTGCATGGTATTCATCTATGAAGACTCTGTGTGCGATTGCCGAGAAAGGTTTTGGTTGCATTAGAATCAAATGACAATTTTTCTCCACACTTCGCAGTAGCGCAAGCCATGGAACGTAGTTGGCATTTGCCACGAATCAGCTAATGCATGAAACAACCCTATATACTATGGGACCAATCGCTAGTGGGCAAAGGATGCAATCCCTCTCCCAAAAAGCGTCCATCCCCCCCCCCCAAAGAAGCTTTGAATCCCTCTGTCCCGCTGACCTCAACGTATAAATATTACAGAAATCTACAAAAGTAAGTCCACTGAAAGGGCTATTTCATCGAGTATTTTATAACCAAGAAACATAGCAAGGGGACAGTCCAATTTTAAGAGCTAGACCTCAACATAAACATTAAGAACATCAACATCAACAAAATCTTGTTTCTGTGCTCAAACTGCTCTATCGGAAAAACAATACAATTGCATTTTTAGGAGCTTTTAGCAGCAAAACCTATTTCTATTAGAGAGCGTTTTGGTTCTAATACCACTATCCGTACTCAATATCAGGCAGGGGCACAGTGGCTGGGGGAAGAGTGCTTTTCTTAGAGTACTATATTTGTCGGAAAATTCAGGAATTTTGCTATCTTCCTTGCCTTTGTCCGAAATCTTGCTAGTTTCTCCCCAACCCCCAACCCCTCCTTTTCTTATAACATCTAACAGTCATCACGCTCTGCTCAATATGTGATTGGATGAATGGGAAACTTTTGACAGAGATACAAATAAGACATAATTTACTAAATGGCTTTGAAAAAGGCAAACATTATACAACATACTAAAAGCTTTGTCGTCTGACACTCCTCAGGGCAAAAAACGTCAGAATAAGGATCCGAAAGAACACGATGAAAAATGAATTCCCAGTTGTGGATATATATCCTTTGTGCTTGCGTTTTTCTGATTGGCCTTTTTCGATCCACAACTGGGTATATATTTTTCATCGTGTTCTTTCGGACCCTTAATCTGACGTTTTATGCTCTGAGGAGTGTCAGACAAAAGAGCTTCAAAGCCATTTTCAAATTCTGTACCGCAAAAAAATTGTTCAAATAATTTACTCTGAGCACACCAAATCATCATGACATTACAAGTCAAAAATTTGCTTGTTAAGGGATGATGAAGCTCTGGCAAAACAGCCCTGAAAATTTTAACATTTAAATTTTGAATGACATCCTATCATGAATCTATTAAATTCTCATCCGTTTTTCCAACCAGCTACATCAAAATCCTGATATTGATCTTAGATACTTAACTCCTCTAAGAAGGTTTTAATTGGAGTTTGCTGTTGTAGACAGTTCAAAATCATTGAAGAGATATAATAATTCTCAGATATCTTAAACTATAAGTGATTCCAAGCCATTTCAAGAAATCTTTTGATTCTCTTATCCACCACACTAAATTTATTCGTTCTGGTGTCCAAGCAAGTCCACTGGGAAAATAAACAGGCCTCCGGTAATCTTCAAAATGCTTCGTTGCTATTTCGATCATCAGCCCTATGAAGGCGGTGGATTTCGCAGCTGCATCCTGTTTTTATTCTATTTGCCTGCGTCACAGACAGAATCGTTTGCATATGTCCATACTTAATCATTCCGGTGACGCAGGAACCAAAGAAACTATTCTCTCTCTTATAAAAACCAGATAATTTTTGCCGTGGGTCGAATTTCTTATTTTTTGGAAAATTTGAGGCTTGGGTGTTCTTAATCGTTCCTTGTTTCGAGGCTTGGGTGTTCTTAATCGTTTCTTGTTTCAACATGGATTTTTTTACATACACATGCTATAAATGCGAGGATGGCTGGCTCAGTAGTTAGGATTGTTGACCAGGTGTAAGGGTCTGGTGACCGTGTCCTTTACATGATCAAATTTCAGCTAAAAATGAGGACGAGGTGTTGACACATCGAAAGGATGGACTAAAACACTGCTCGATAAGGATAGCTCTTTAGGCTCCTAATACTACCGTCAGATGCTTGGGGAAAACAAATGCAAAAATTCAAAAAATATCGTTTCTATGGCCAGTAACATGCCATATTAGTTCTGCAAGAACTTTTTAGTAGCGCAGGTGATTAGCTGATAAAATCTCCTAAGTTTTGTAATCATGAAAGAAAATTGTTTTTTTCTAATTTTCATCTAAGGTTGGGCATGTTCCTATGTTGTTCTTAGTTTATTCGGGAAATCGAGCCTCTGTGTTCCTATAACGTGTGTTCTTATAAAAAGAAAGAGTGTAAAGGTAGCCAAGGAAAGCCAGGGCATTATAGATATGAAGGCAAAGTACTTACTGGGGTCACCTGCCAGTGGCGGATATTCATTTTTCAGGTGAGGTGGAGGAGGGGCAATGCCAACAAAAACATCAACCTGCACTTCCATCTTATTTTCAGAAAATCTTAATCCAATTACGTATCACTGTTTCATTAACGTAAGGGAAAAAGTCACTAATAAATTAACTGGATTCTGGGAAGTTCTATGAACACCTGAGCACTTGTCAGAGTCGTTGTACTACAATTGATCACAATTAAAGCTCAGAGCTAAAGAAACAAGGGCGGTCACGATAGGGGGTACATGGGGACCACAACCCTCTTCTCAAACAAGGGTCTGACAGAAAATCGCCGATATCGTTAGTGAATCTAACAAATCTTTACCTAACCTAGAAGTCGGCTCTCACTAAGGCCACACCCAAACAATGTCACGTGTTTCAAGTCAGCAAATTTTTCTTAATAATCAATGTTCAGGAAAATTGTCCACAATGTTAGGAACTGCGACCTAACAATGTCGTTTAATGATAACGTAATGTTTAAGATGTAAAGTTGATTTCCAGCATATATTAGAACAAGGGCATTATTCCGGTTCTCTGTTCATCATTATCTGTCCGTTGAACTTTAGAATTTCAGTTGCTATAAAGAAAGAAACAAACAGACATCTACTTGACAAGGAATTGGCAAGAAGATAGATTGCTTTGTATACTCTTGCTTCCTTGTATACTCCCGCTTCCTTGTCTCACTAAGGGACAATTAAGTCTCAATAACTTTACAGCCTCCGCCCATCCGTAATTTTCTCCTCTGTCCCTGAAAAAGGAATCAGACGGCTCATTGCCTGATAAAGAGACAAGAGGCATTGCGTTACACTTGAGATTTGGTTTTCTTGCTTGTTTGGGAATGCTTACGTTTTTTTTGTTTTAATGAAAAAGTAACTACCTTTTTCCATTCCCAAGTCTCGAATTTCTTCCTGCAGTAAATGGTCCAGAACGGAATAGTTTTGTTGTTATTGAAAGCTCTTTTTATTTCTTGGATAAATGGAATTCAAAACAAGAGATTTTATGCTTTTTGCAGAATAAGAGTCTCCTTTTTGAAATTCTTTGGTGCAGGTATATCGATGCATAACCACATGAGCGATTTTCCCCCTTTCGTTGAATGAGTTCTCAAGAGTGAAATTGTATAGAACCTACGAATCCTTGTGTGATGTTCGTGCTGAAGTCAATGTTGTATTTATTCATAATCAACATCCATTCACCAAATGCAAATTGGCAAAGTGACGATGGAACGAAAAGGATATCCACGAATAAAAGATTGGTTATAAAAGATTGGACAATCGCCACTCAAAGCTGTATTTATGCCGAAATCTGTTTCATCGTATCGTATTATATGCAGTGCATGGTTTGTTTTTCACACGTTTTGGCTCGACGTTAGTAAACTTCTTTACGAATCGAGACTAAGGTGAGTTACTTCATCATCAAATAAATATAGAAATCAATTTGTTACGTTCAAAGTCAAGGTACCAAAAATGTGTCCCTACCATGAAAGGATTTCACATACAATAATTGAAACGTAAAGTTTGCCCGCAACAGAATATAGCTGACAAACATCGAGCAAAATATCGAGGGACAAATCATTCCATGGAGATCTCGTAAATTTTTGGTAGAAATACTTTTGTTTTATCAGAAAATCCATAGAGATTCTTTTGCTTTGGTAAAAATTTTGTAGGGTATTGCCAAGAATGAATTGCCCCACGCAAAAAATTGAGAATGGGAGAAGGGAGTAGCACGCTGAACGCTGTGAATGGATGCTAGAAATTGCTTCACGAAATTTTGCCTTCATATTGTATGGCCCACTTATCGAAGCATTTCAGTTTAAATGTTGTATTGCTTATTGTGGTAAGTAAAATAAATTTTGGCAAGTCGTATATACCATATTTCCTCGAAAGAGCGCCTCTCCTAAAGGAAATATTTTTAAATGAGCGCCCTCTCGAAAAGAGAATGAAAACAATACAAACCGAACCACTCAAATAAAACATGTTATATCAACTAAACCATTGAAAAATGTATTGGAAATCTGGCTGCAGGCATATTTTCTACAAAGAAATCTTAAATGGTTAGAAAGTTCCTTCCTTTTCTTCAATTCTGCTTGTAATATAACGGCAATCTTTTTTCTTTGTGTGTGCCGTATATCGAGCGGGAATTGGTTATTCGAGCCAACTTCGCGCTTTCGTCTACCAGTGACGTGGGCTTTGAAGAAGTTGTCTTCTTGTTGCTTGAGAAAATAATCTAGAACCCTTGAAAGTTCTATTGGCAAATGTTCGATTAATGTTCCAACTGCTTTACATCTGTGAGTGTTTTTTTTTAAACTGTACCAAATCAGCAAATCAAACATAGCAAAAAATCTTATTTTTGGTCATAATTTTACAATTTTGGGCCTTTAGTGTTAAAAATTAAACATTTGGACTAAAGATTAAATAGAAAGGAATGTATGAAATTTATAGGAGCTTATCAGGAATAAATACTCCAAATCTGCTAATTATCGATGATTTTAATTATGTCTGGACCCTATACATGAATAACTTCCTTTTTTTATGGTTTGTACTGAGTTGATAAAAACTAGTTTTCATAAATCTTGACTCAGGAGCACTGCAGGCTGCGAAAAATCCTAAGGAAGACTAGCCAAAGAACATACACCTAATGTATGGTTGTCATAATTCAATGCTTCTTGGCGATTATTATTCTTGATTGACAAAGTTTCATTCAGCCTCGGAGTCCAGCTGCCTTTGTAAACGTGATGCCCCTTATTGCTGCACTGAACTTTTACCTTGTAATCAATGGTAAAACTAGAAGTTATCGCTGTAGCACGAGCCATTTCTTGCAAGATGAAAGTAGTTGCTGCTTATTTAAACCTTGATTCTGTTTGGAATTGTTTGGAAGGCTAGTTGCCACGTAATTACATCAGTCTCATCACCACGTGTTACCCTCTCACAGTCACAGTGGAAACTTTACACCTCAGACCCCTGGGTCTTACCACAGGGGGCCATAGAGTTTTTGTAAAGACAGCTGCGTAGTTTGACACAGATTACATATCATCGTAGCGGTTAGCCTGCTGTTTCTACTGTTATGACCGGGCAGATATGAACTATGGTTTATTCAATATATGTCGCTGAATGGACGATATCTGTTGCTGCAAACAAACCAGGGTGAGGATCATGATTGTCACTTACCGCCAGAAACTGTTTGGAAAAGTAGAGCATCTCATCCAACTTCGGGGTCGGGTTATGTTCAAGAGGTTTATAACGAATGGTATTGGGAAGTCCCTTCATAAATTGACGGGATAGCAAGGCAGGGATGGCAGCTTCTTCCAAAGTCGGATCCGCCTTTTTCAGCAATTCCTGAAGAGACCACAGAAAAACACTAGGATCCTCACCACTACGCAAAACACGTTCTTCAAATTCACGTCCTACAGCCTTCTCGTCCAACAGCAGGACACAAGAGAGTGTGGAGACTGGTTACCAAATGTTCAGACGTATCCTTTTCATCATCGGAAAGAGTATGAAAAAACGTAGCAGCCAACCCTCGCAAAAATGCAGACAGCTTTTGCAACCTTTGTGGAGGCACAACAATTAAATTGGCAAAGCCAAGTTGGGAAATCACCAGAATCAAACTTTTCTGGCAAAATGCTACTCGCCATTGCTTTCACCTCTGTCACCAATTTGCTTTGACCGGGCAGAAACGGACAACATAAACAGACGTGTCTCTAGTACATATTCCAATTCTCTAATAACCGAACTATCACGGCTTTCCAATTTATTGATAAACATGACATGTCATCACATGACGAGCACAAGAAATACGTTATTAATTAGCATTGCCTAATGACACCATTAGAAAACACATTATTTTACAGATGTGACATTTCACATGACATCAAATGCGCACTGTCAGCTCCCTTGTTGGTAATTCATGTTGGTGTCAAGACACTGTAATAACTTGAAAATACTTTCGTTTTATCTTTAATTCGTCAAAATTTCATCATGGTATCAGAAATGATAAAGCAGTAACTGATATGATGTCTCATAAAGGTATGAAAGTGAAGAGTCATTCTATAGAGTTCAAATAAAACGCACAGTAGAAATTCAAGTTTGCCCCAAGCAATATCTACAACATGAAAGAAGCGCCCGTGTGGGAAGACATGGTGGCGATGACAACAGTCAATAAAAGTTGCGGCCAAGGACGTCCTTGTGCGATCAGCAGGGCACGAAAAGGCCAGGGTAACGGTTTGCTTGACTGCCAATGCAGATGGAACCAAATTAAAACCTTTTATTGTTTTTAAGAGGGCTAAACGAGAGGCAGCCAGATTGAACAACGAATTTAGGGGCCGATGCGTTCAAGTATCATCTGCTGATGGATGAACACTGAACTGACGCTGCAGAACAATCAGACCATTTTTGGGCTCGTTTTCGTCTGGAAAACGACTTTTAGCATAGGACAGCTTTGTGTGCCATATTCAGTCAGCCGTCTATGCTAATTTAAAATTAAGGGGTTTTGAAGGACCAGTTGTCTCATGGAACAAGCAATTTAAAGCAAAAGTGAGCCAGCATTATGACGAATGGCTTTCGATTGTTGGAATTCACCAAGTCACTGACGTTGGCAATCTGAAATCGCCGACGCAACAAGCTGTTGTCGAGTGGATCGTTAATGCATGGGCAAGCTTAGATAGCGCGATTGTTTCGAAGTCTTTTGAAGTCTGTGGCCTGAATCTTGCGGTTGATGGGAAAAAAGACGGCTAGCATGATTGCCTGAAAAAGGGTGCATCATGCTATGCAGGTCTTGAGATATTCCAGCAACAATTATCAATTTTAAATGAACCAGACTTCAATCCGTTTAAAAGGCTGGTTTCAGAAGAGGATATTGCTGACGCAACATCAAAATTCAAGCTTATAGACATCGATGAAGAGGACAAAATTGACATTGTTTTGTGAAACTTGCTTTTATATTGCATTGCAGCAATTATATTTCCACATGGTTTTTTGACTGATCCCCTTTTCCTTGTATTTCCTATTTCTTCATGTTGCGTTTATGTGTCTACTCACAACTATAGGGAAAGATTGGGTCTGTATGTCTACCAAATAAAATAAGCGCCCCAAAAAGGCAGTTTTGTAAATGAGTGCCCCTTTGAAAGAGCGCCCCCTCGAAAGAATGCCTCCCCCAAAGGCAGATTTCAAAGGCGAGGATATGTTTCTTTGCTTAAGTACCGTATTTCGAGGAAATACTGTACTTAAGCAAAGAAACATATCCTCACAGAAACTTGAGCAACGCTAATTTTCTATTTTCATTATGCTTTTAGTTAACAGAATGTTGATAAGACTCCATAAATTAAAGTACGAAATATGAGAATGAACAATACAAGATTTGGCTTCCTGTCCCTCAGTGATAACTTGCATTTGTTTTTTCTGTGCAACGGTTGCGTTACGCAGACAATACAAATTCTAGAAGATCGAATTAATGAAAATAACTGATTATCGGTCACTCATATAGTGCTCCATTCAATATAGTCCGAGCTGTACATGCTTCTAGATCTAGAGTATTCTAGAGTAAAGGACAGGATGTAGTTTCTCTGTTTGTGGTCCTCTGATTTCTCTGATTATGGAGGTTTCTGTTCTTGGCACTTTTTGAAATGAAATGTTTGAAAATTCATTTCAGATTTTTTGCTCCAATATTCGTCCAAACGATTCTAATATTGATATTCATCAATCATTTGCTATTTGACGATAACGATGTTCGAGGTATCTCGTGTACGGTACAGAGATTGATCTTACTTGCAATACTTGCATTAAATGTCTTCAGCATTTTCTCGTGTAATGTGTACTTGGTTTTCCCAAAAAGATCAACGTACCTGACTTTCTATGTATCACGTATTGACAGACAATTTCCAAGTTGAAAAATGGACGATATTCGCATAAAATTATACATTCTTAGAGACAGCAATATTTGTATTTGGAGATTCTATCAATAAACCTAAAAAGCCAAACTTTCAATGCCTATTTTCATTTCCAATGAACATTGGCTGTCTTTTAGACACAGTTCCTTTTTTTGTTTTGATCCGTTTTGTCTGGTAAAAGGTTACAATAAAACATTACTGCCTGCTACTAACAAACAACTGTACAATGATGCAAAAACGATACTACATAAGGCAAAAAGATGTGTTTTGAACCTTGCAGCTATCAATTGAAGTTAAAAACTTACTTCAGCTGGTTTTAAACCAGCTGTCCAGTGAAACTGCTGACAAATAATATATTGAGGGAATTCTGCATGGTAACAGCTTTTCTAACAAATATGTGTTTTCAACAAAGACTTCCAAAGACCCGTGACTTTGGCAGGAAAAGCAGCAATAAAATTTGATGGAATGAAAGCATGGATCTTTTTTCCAACACTTTATAACCCAAACAGACTAACAGAAAACCGGAAATATGATTTAGACGCAGATAACGGTAATTCATATTTACGGACTTATCATAATTTTTAGACTCTTTTTGGTGCTGTCTACCTAATTCAAAATTTTGTGCTGCTTTTTATCAATAGGTGATCCCTTGAATGTGTGCCCCAATGCTCCATTATTAGACTATTCATGTTCAACTTTTTGCAAAGGATATTTTTGCTATTACAAAGAAAAATTCTTTATACGTGAAAAATTATATATCGTCAACTTATGATTAAATGTTATGTAAAATCTCAAAAATTACCGAAAACAAGAACAGTATATGAACCGTTTGTCTAAAGAAGTTAAAAAGGCAATCTATCAAAATTCCAGGCATTCGGTATTTAACTCAAGAAAAATAAACAAATGAGAGAGACTGATATCAATCATAAATATATTATTGAATAATATATGGTTAAATTGTGAAGAAACAGCTACTTGGATACAAAAGGATCTTAAGGAGTACAGCTACTTGGATTTTAAGTTAAAATTTGCCTCGCAATCTTTCAGTGATATAAAGTACAAGAAAACATAACTTTTTACTTAAGGGCTCGCCATCTCCACCCTTTTCCAAGATCCGTCGTCGGTGATGTTTAGCAAGTAGAAGCATTGAATGAAGCAAAAAACCATGATTTTTCACTTCTTTCTGGTCACATTTTATAAAGTATATTTTGACCTAGAAAATACCATTTGTGATAACACTGTGCCTAGCAGCATAGTGACCTTGGAAATAAATTTGTTTTTTCGCAGTTGAAACATCCTTTAGGGATCCTTTCGCAGTACTTTTATTGCACATCTTTCATAGTTTTCTTCTGTCCACCACCGAGTATTTAGAGTGCGAGAACAAACAACACGTTGTTATATCATTTTGAAATATTTTAGATAACATTTTGTGCATCATAACTTCATTAAAGAGAGAAAATTATGACTCGCAGACGTTGTTTAACATTCCACTAATTTTGGAGCTCAAAATGAGCACTATCTATTTACAATTTTTAATCTTAGAAATAAGATTTAGAAAACTGACATAGAATATTTGAATAGAAAAATGCTTTTATGCATACCAGATTCGCAAAGAAAGTTTGTTTATATTATTTTATACAGAATAGAATTAACCAAACTGGTGGGGAAACTTAAAACCTAATAACATAGTCAAGGGAGTCAACAGAGGGTTGTAAACCCGCTTTCTTACTTCTATTATCGATTTGAAGTTTTAAAGTACAAAATTTGAGTTTATTGATCAAAGGGCAGGATAAATGAAATCAAACTAACCTAATTTTACTGGATAATTATCAATTCCGTTTTCGTCACAGACAGTAACGCTTGGAGGTCTCCACATTTAACTAACCATTCACTTTAACCAAAATGTTTTAACCCATTGATGGTTTGCTCAGTCAAAGTCTCATATTAGTTATCTGTTGTTTTGTTTTTGTATATGAGCTAAATTTGATCTAGACTTCTATAAATGCAGTAGTGCAACAAGCGATCTAGGCCACCTTGGATAAGAAGATGAGACCATCCTTAATTTACCACATCGTTGAAGTTTTGTTACTTCAAAACAAATGACCCTTCTTTATAAATATTTACCTGAGACCCCCTGGGACATCCCATCCGATTGTTGCAACCTTGCATAAATTAATATTTCAAGCTTATTTGAAGAGTCACTGAGCGTGAATAAGTACAAGGTTACTATTAACAAGAAATGTTAAAGTATGACACGGAGGAAAGATTGCTAGGTAGTTTGGAAATTTCAATTATTGTGCTCGCTCCTGATGTCTACAGTTACTGCGTAGAGATTCAGAAATAAGAGTTTTTAGGTATACTAAGGAGATAAGCTGAGAGATTATAAGTTTCATAGCATTTTAGGCTTAAGAGGCGTTTAAATATTGTTGGGTTGAAAGGAAAATATAAAAGGAAAATTTAAGAGTGCGACATAAACAGGTCTACTGCTCTCTAAAAATGAATAAAGAACCGTCAATAAGATGATTAGCAGCTGTTAATTAAAGATCTTTGAACTGTTCCGGTTTCGACTTCCAACTTCAAAATTCCGGTTTCATTTCAAGTTTAAAGTTCGTTCACTTGCTTCCCTTGAAGTATATTTCTTTCATACTTTCTACAAATTTTTTCCTCTCAGGACTTTCGTTCTCAAGTATTTCTTGTCGTAAATAGTAGCATTCTATGAATTTGTTAACCAGAACAGGTGACGGCAAACAGAACAAAAGAACACCAAAGATTCCACAAAATGCCCCCAAGAATCGTCCGCCTTCCGTTTGGGGATAGACATCTCCATATCCAACTGTAGTCATAGTTATTATGCTGTACCAAAATGTGTCTGGGATACTTGAAAAAACAGCTTTTGTTTTTACAGGAACAAACGTCTCCGCGTAGAAAACTACTGTTGCAAAAAAGATACCCATTATGATTATCACAAGCAATATTGATTTCAGATGGACAGAGCTTTCGTATATTGTCGTCAGCAAGACTCTCAAGCCTTCGTTATACCTCGTCAATTTAAATACTCGTATGATTCGAAGCAGACGTAGAATTCGTATAACACCGAGTGTATTTGCAAGATTTCGCCCTGTCGCCCGTTCACGAATAATCAGTGTTATGTAGAAAGGTGAAATCGATATCAAATCTACTAGGCCTAGGCCCGAAAACAGGAACCGGAAAACATTTGGTGCTGACAAAAGTCTGATAGTATATTCGAAGGTAAACCAGACAATGCAGACTACCTCGAATATAAACCAATGGTCTTGGTCGTAAACAGAGTGTATGACAAGTCTAGTTGAATTTCCAATTGTTTTATTGACACTTATTTCTGTTATACTGCGCTTGAATTCTGGGACGGTCTCGGCACATAGCGCTATCACTGATACTAATATCATTGCTATACTGAAGATTCCCAGCACAGATGCAAAAAGACTTGAGCCTGGATATTCAAACCATTCCCATAGTGTTCTACGAAGGTAATGCCGAGGCATCGGAGGTTCTAGCTGTCTTTCTTTTTGCAAGTTCTGCTCGAACTGGTGCCTTTTATCAAATGTTGCAGAAATGCCAAAGAATTGCACTTCCTTCTCGAAAACATCACGAGGTATGTCTCTTGGCCGGGCCAGTATCCCTCTTGATTGATAATAAAACAAAATAGCATCAAAGCAAATTGGATCTCGGCAAAAATAAAATGTGTTCGAATACGGATCGTAATATTCCTTCCGCTTTGCCGGATTACCTAGCAATGTTTCAGGATATGCTGATAGCGTGCATTCTAATGTTTCATATCGCTTGCCACTGATAATTATGATCAGGCGGTTGCTGGTTGTATGATTGATTGTGGTTGATCCCCTTCTAGACGTGATAGGGGTAGACACAATTGACTGCTCGCTTTTAGAGGAACAGAGTGTGAGGGTTGACTTTGGTCGATGATGTTTGTCGGTGGCCGCCGATGTATTGACAACCTCGTGCACTAGCATGTTGATACGTCATTCTGCAACATAACAGTAGATGTAATTAAAATATAGAAAAAGCGACTTTGGATACCACTAATAATGCATGCGCTTTTCTCTATTCTATTTAGCTGCAGAGAGAAAGATTCTGATCATTTTGTCGTAAACACGGGACTTTTTCCGCGCGCGAGCGAGACTGGCGACGTAAAGCTCTGCCTGCATTGTCACAACGAGGTCACAAAGCAACCAGCTCAAATAAATAACGGTAATTGTTTTCTTTATAAGTATTACCTCCTTAAAAAGAGAAAATTCACAACAGAGGAGTCCTCTTTTTACAAAATATGACACTTGTCTTGCAAGAGTCTGTAAACACTATCAATGCTCCATGGGCTTCATCCACACCAGATTTTCTCCCTCCAGCTACGGATTAATATACACATAATTTAAGAAGTTGAAATGGCTACATAAATAAATCAATCAATTACAAGAAACTACATTCTTCATCCGTTCACAATATTTGCTAAGTTATTTCTTTGCTTGCTCAATGGTTGTCATGAATAAACTTCAATGGTTGTCATGAATTTCTTTTATATCTTGTACATATCTATTGAAGCCCCGAACCTTTATAAATGATTCGCATAATGAAAAAAGTAACAAAATGCAAGACTTTAAGGTGCAGTAAACATCACGAAGATGTCATTTCAGCTAGTTTGAAAAAAGATAAAAGATGTTATTGTGTAAAAGATCCTTCGTTGGGGAGTATCAATACTGGCATTGCTGCAGACTAAACTCTAAATACTTATTGTGCAAATTAATTGGAAATATGATTACGGCAAAATAGTTAACAAAAGTTCTCCTGATTTTACATTGAAAACCAAGCTGTCGTACTCAGTGCAAAATTAATTGTGGAAATTCAACATGAATCAACGAAAGTAGGCCCACAGCTTTTTTCTGTACCTTACGACAATGGCGAACATGTGCTGACCTCCTGTGTATAAGGAAGAATATGAAATGTTTATTTCGACAAGAGCAGTTTGATGTTGAAGATCTGTCAGTTATCGTTGATTATGAGTTTTGCAGTGTCCCAATAGCAACATTTAAATCGCCTTTGCTTCCAAAAGCTGCAAAAAGGGAGAGGAAATTTTGGTTCTTGAATGGTGTGGCTTTGATGATACATTAGGATAAGCCAAGTAAGGCTGGTCAGTCGCGTTTATACTTTTATTTCAATAACTCCATCAGCTTTAGCAATATCGATATTTGCCTTCGAAAGATGCTAACAATATTTATCATAAATTTGAACCAAAGGTTCTTATCTCACGTAGTTAATGATGTTATACAAGAGATGCTATCCACCAACTGCTAGCTTTGCGTCGACTTCAGTTGATAGCCTACCAGTATTACGCAGTTTCTATAGCTGCCGACAAGTAGTACAATTCCACATTAGCAAATGGAATCAGCGGTCGTTGCCAGATGTTTGAAATTTAAGGAGATCACTATTTGTGTTGAGAAATACAAGGTCAATTTTATGATCGCCGTCAGAATTTTAAAATGCGTTAACCGAAGTCATTTTCAACGTTTTTCAACATTAGATAAACTTTCAAATACTAATGTTTTTCATCTTTTGTTTTATTTTCAGATATAATTAAAATTTTGAGCTGTTCGTTTAATTTAACAGCTAATCTAGTCTCTTCAAATATGCATAAATAGATAAGTATTTACACAATATTTGCAAAACATTTCTGTTCAATCATCGTATATTTTAAAAAAATCTGTCTCACACGATGTTATATGCCTTCGCTAAACAAATATGAGATATTGTTTATGCAAATGCAGTCTTGCTTCGAACTGGGATGTCTCTTGCGGTTGTCTGGCTAGTACTGTTTAAGTTTCTTTTTTATGTCTGTACTATCGCTTTAAAAATCTGTTAACAATAATTTCTGCATAAAAAAATAGAAATTTCATGTGTGCGAAATAAATTTATTGAAAAAGAGTAATACTAGAGTGATATTAAGAATATTGTTACCAGCAAAATTTCCCTAGTCCTCTTCAGTTCGTATAATTTTTGCCATTTTCGCCACAAAAAACGATGATATATGCCTCAGATGAAATAAATATACTATAAGACACACGGATACAAACATGTATTATGATGAAAATTGCTGTTTTATATGTCTACAATAAATTCCTTGATGGCAGAGCTCAAGACGCTACGGTGTACAGAACAAAACACTTCTAAGTATTGCAATTGTGATCTGTTCATCTTAGGTGGAAGATAAAGATTTATTCAAGATATAGATAACAATTGATTCAGTCTGGGAAAAAGTAGCCTATAAAAATTCAGGTAGATCCTTGAAAAGTGGCACTTCGTCTTGGACATGATTACAACTAAGAATTTTTCCTCTGTCTTTTCTTAGTTCAGCATTTTCGTCCAGATGATTTCTAAATACATTTGCAAACCATTAATGTTTTACCTTTGTCTCGTTCTTTGGTTTGTTGACCTTCACAAAGCAAGTCCTTGAGTGCCGCACGAGGTCGGTATCAATCACTTATGTCACAAATTTGCAAAATACACCAATCAAATTGGACAAACATTTTATAAACAGTTCTGTTATGGGCAATCAATTATTCATTAATGAGACGTACCAGCGAGATGAATTTATAATTTTTTAGAGAGCTTATGTTAGATCCATCTCAGTTGGTAATCCAACTAAATACTGTATTTTAATTAAAAACATATTGATATTAGTAATTGAAGGAAGCTATTGTTTCTGTCAGTTTATCTCCGTATGTATGCAGTCATAGAGAGGAGTATTGAAATAAGCAGAGGCTTTATATTTAAAATAACCAGGACAAGCAGGATTTGTAAGCTTCAGATACTTTAAAGCCAAGATGATATAAATAAATTCCTGCATGTTGGGATGGAAATCTCATACAAATAAAATTAAAACTAGCCCTTAACATACAGGTTTTGTTTCAATTAATTGAAGTCAAAAAGTTTTAATTGTCACGTTTCAAAGGTACTTTAGTATGATATCTTTCCATTATTCCGTGTTATTTCCAAAATTTTGTAGTACCAAAGGTTCATGTTTTTAGTTTTAAATGTCTTTTTTCCTCAACCATGTCCATAGTTATGGAACATTGAAACTTATCAAGCGAGTTATCAATACCCCGTTTACACTGCCATATATCTCTTGACACGGGCCAAGAGTGGTACGGATTGATCGCGTTTACACTGCTACCAATCACTTTTGATCAGTTCTAAAAGCGATACCAATTGACCTTCAGTTTACGTTACTGATACGGTTAGCCCTATCACTCTGGATCTTTTTAGCAAAAGCGGTACATTGCCCCGTTTACACTGGGCTTTCAGGAAAACGGATCAGTTTGTATTATTTTGCTAAAGTGCTAGGGATAACCGTATCAGTTTGCTACGGATAGCTAGGAGTAGTGCAAACGGAGCCTTAAATGTCACAAAACGAAAGCTGCACACAGCAAAAGTCTTAAACAGCAAAAATTTCGCCCGATATTGAGCACAGTGTGAAGATTCTGTTTGCATTTTGAGTGTTACCCCCCCCCCCCCCCCCTAACATGGTTATCATTGGCTAAATTAAGTTTATTTTTTCATGCAAATTCATATTCGACTGGATTTGTTCAAGTTACCTAAGAGCTCGCTGCGACCTTGAAGGTGGTTGCCCATACTGAAAGTTACAGGATTGTGTGTTGCAACGTTTACAACACATCTTGAATACCACCTTGAGCAACAGCTTGTTGTGATTAGCTGCTCAAAATGCTGAGCCACACAAACTTTGCAGTTTTCTTTTGAGAATCAGAACCACCAAAACAAAGAAAGTCATAACCCCGGTGGCAAGGCTAACCCAAGCAGAACTATCACCTACCACCTGTAAACAAAAAAATACATGCTTTTATTTATGTATTCTATATTGAAGTTATACTGCAGAAAAGAAGCTGCCAGCGGTCGGTGATCCGTCCCCCCCTTCTAACTTCCTATAAGGAAGAATTTTTAGCAATACTCCCGCAAACAATGACGAGAATATCTTAATGAATCCCAATGCTTTTAGTGCTTAGATAAAAATGAGGGTTAATAAAACATCACAACACCGACATAATAAACATATTTCACAGTATCAAGAACAAATGAATGTTTGAATAATCTTTACAAGTTTTGTAATTAACCAAGTGTTTTAATGACAATTTTTATACCAATTATCTACATATTTAATGTAGAATTCCAAATTCATTCTAAAGCGAGAATAAAAACGACGGGCAACGATGCAGCGTAATTGAAATAAGTTATCTGTGTGGTTCTGGCAAGTAGAAATATTTGGATTAGCAATGAATGGGTTACGTAGAATCGAAAATTGTTTTAAACGCTCACAATAATGAAATTTTGTTGGACGACCAATTTTCTTGAAAGCCAGATTTCTTGCATTGTTATTTGCTGCCTAGTGGTATACACATTATTCAATATTGTGATTGATACATTATTAATTTCAGCTCACAGATGAGTTTCCATTGATTCAAAGCTTTGAATAAAAGTAGCTTTTACATGTAAAATTGTCCCCAGACTTAAAAACATCTTCCTTGCTTGTGAATTTATCACAAATGTGAAAGCAATATTTATATGACTATGCTGATTCTGACTTCAATTGACTCTTAAACCATTATCCATTCAAACTTTACCTGAAGCCATGTTTGCTAACAGCCATTGAAGTTCCAGCATTAAAGATAGAACTACGAAAGACTAATGCAAGGCTTGTTTAAGTCTGTTTTTTGGTTTGCTTTCAATTTTCGCACAAGCTTTGACACAAAGAAATGAACTGTTAAATTTTGTGACGTCTAGAAGAATATTGCGTCAGTTAAGTTCAGCTAATCGGTTTAAATAAAGTGAACAATTTTTACGGAGAAAAAATGGACTTATCTTGTTTTAAGGCGAAGACTAAAATGAATTTGTCGTGGAACTTAATTCGATAGAGCTATACTAAAAACGTTATGCAGGCCGCTCCAATACGCGCTGCAACATTTGAATAAAACATTATGATTGGACTGAAACTATGGCCCATTGCTTTGACCATCTCATATACACTTTTAAAAGATTATTTATCTATACTGTTATAAAATTGCTTAGATTTGTTCCTATGTTCCATGTTTTGTTTTATCACAATATCCAAAAACTTGAACGTAAAGATGTTCTCCTACGACTTTATCTACACTTGATCATGATTTTCCAAATCATCTAGCAACGCTTTTTCATCAAGAAGAATTCGATAATAAACAGAAAACAAAACTGTTAATTCTTCTTTTGTCAATAAATTAATCTGCGCTTTTTCTAACAGTGATGTCAAGTCATGAAAGTTTATAAATCTCAGTGTACTGCAAAACAAAGGATAATGATTGCCTACTAAGATTTGCTTTAATGTTCACAACATTTGCCATTATCGTTCAATTGTTCGAGATCCATTCTGCTTCTCTAAAACAAATACTCCTTTTTACATGTTTAGTTTCATGAAATAAGTAGCAACAGTTTTATTCAAACGAAATTGCAGAAATGTAAGCAGAGAGGTCTTGTAAAAGAGCTAGCACATGTGTGTTATATTGTGAAAGATCGTTCTTGATAACATTTCTTAATCACAAAATCAAATGAAAAACATAACAAAAGACATTATCATAATAAAACTGTGTACAAGTAAAAATAACATGAAAAAAGTACCCAATAAAATTAGATTGACAAGATTAGATTAAAAAACGTAGCTTATGAAGCAATATGACAGATTTCATTCTGAAAAACCTTATGATAATTCAACTCCAAGTTTTAAAGATATTTTAAAGGCCTTTTACACGGTCCGATGTTTTCATCAGATTTTAGTCAGCCGTTAAGATTGTCAAAAGAAGGAGAGATATTCTGCGTTATTTTAGCAAAAATGGACCAACTTGTATACAGTTATGTTTGTATTTGTTTACTATTTGATCCCTTGGATCATTTTATTGGAAACATTTTTGCAACAGTTTTACGCTTTGCTAAACTGTAACAAAATGTCAAAATGGACCCTTCTAGGATTATTTTAAATGATACAACAATATGATTCACTGCCCGGTAAGCCTTGCAACAGAGGCCGTGCCAACCGGGGAACATTGTTCCATCTTTTCAGTGCTTCAAATTTTAGTGACAATACTCAACGATCGTTAATTTATGCACCAAATCCACGGTTTCATTTTTTAATTTGAGCTTGTTTCAGCTTTTGATAGCTAAGGGTTTGCTACCAAATCTACTATAAGCTCAAGGCATGGTTTCATTTGCAAAAATCGTTTAGCTTTAATCTTTATTTCAAAATTTAATCAAAAGTCCTTACAGAAAAATTTCACATGAATGGCAAAATTGCCCTGAAGCAACATTCATTTTGCACTAGCAACTGTGAAATTGATAGTTAAAAAGTGTAAGATATGAAATAAAGGAAACTTGCATTTAAGAATGCACTTGTAGACCACTGCTAAGAATCAATTCGACAAAAGATCTTGTTTTTAAATGATTTGCCAGTTTGGCAATGATGTGATAGTTGTGATAAGGCTGGTTTTGAAATTCTGAAGTCAAAGAAAGCCAATCTTAACAGTCAACTTTCAGAGAAATTGTCTGGTGTTGTTTACTGACTGTCTAGTACTTTGATCAGCTCTGATTAGATATATTTTCGCGAGGATTTGAAGCCTTCCTTTTCAAACTTTCTTTATTGATTTTAGGTTGAAAACAGTCCAATTTTCTTCTGTTAAAAGCAAATTAAATTTAATCATTTATAGGGATTTGCAAATACACAAAGATTAGCTATCATTTTGAGCTTAAAGTAAATCAATTCTCGTCAAGTTTTACAATTACATTCATTTATTTCGTAGAAACATATTGAAACAAAAACATATTGAAACAAGGCAAATTACCATATTACTTTTTAGGCTTTCATAACATTCTGGGGCATTACCGAGATGAAATTCCAATTTTATTCATTTTGCATTTTGGTAACTTACCTAAAAAGAATGCAAATGGGCACTTAACGGGAAAAGCATTATCTTGACATACATATACTTTTGTATGAATAAAATGAAAATGTTTAATCGTTAAGGAATTTTTGCCATTTTAAAGCAATTTTTGCTGAAGCACAATCCAAGGTAATTCTAGATATTCTACTTTGCATAGTTATATAATAATCTTAGCATTATATCTACTATATTCCTGATTTTTTTTAAAATGCTTAGCCTTGCAAAATATCAAAACCAGTTCACAATCACTAGCCAACGAAGAATTTATCTGTGAACACCAGCATTCGGTGTCGGGCAATGTCGGAGCACAATAATGCCCCTTAGAAATTCGCACAAGAAGCTGTCAAATTTTCTAGGACTGTCTCCCGATCATTAATTCCATCAAACGAAGTTTATAATCAAGCTTATAAATTATTTAAGCAAACACGCTTGATGGATTCGGTTAATATACCTTTTGATAAATGCGACTTTGTCTTGATCTCGTACAAATATGGTGTGAAGGAAATATAATGTCCACTTTAATACTCGGCGTGAAGCAGAGCAAAATGTAACATTAATTTTGAAGCTAAATTTGAAATGTTTCGAAAAACGGTACTTCTATTGAAGTGGAGCCTCCATATATTCAGAGCAGTGTAATTGTCCGTTGTAAAGAGGCGGCCGCTGTATAGAGATTCCTTGCACCTGATTTAAAATTACACCTTTTATATACTTAAGGGACATGCGAATCGAAACAACATATGTTTTTAAACTGATTATTATAGACAACAGTCTAGTTTGATGTGACTGGTGGCCTCTTGTGTGCTAACAACAAGATTTTGTATTCTGATACTTTTGAGTCTTATCAACGCTTCCTAGCTGATAATTTTAATGTTTTGGATACTTTTAGGTAAATTTTAGCAACTGCGGATGGACCTCCCTGTATAAAACAAGTTTAGGTGACTCCCCTGGTTCATTTCTTAATCAATGTTCAATATCTGGTATAATAAGCGACATGATGACAAAGCCCACAATGAAACAGCTACTGTTTTATTGCATCCTCTTGCTTAAGTGTAAAAATAATTAACTTATTTGCAATCTCAACCAAGCTCAGCAGGTTTAACTGAGCAAAGAATTTTATGCACGAGAATAACAAGGAATAACGATTAACATGTGCACATGGATTTCAAAGATGTATGGAAACCACAAAACAGCAGCAAAATTTCTCCAATGACCTGATAAAAACACTCCTTAAAACATTTCTAGCTCATGTTAAGCTATTTGAATCTTTTTATTGGCAATAATGTTAATTCCGATGCATTAATGAACATTTGTCAATCAGTGGTAATTGATCTTAGGTCTTAAAACTTCATCTCGAATATTCAACACAAAGGTTAAAAACAACTACACCTGGAATTTATTCACCATCCTATATGCAAATGCTTATATCCTTGTTGTGAATGTTTTGTTCTGATGTGGAATAGTACTACGCATTGTCCTCATTCAGTTAACTTGGTATATTTGTAAACATATCTTTGAATGTTTGCTTAAACAAAGCTAAAACAGTAAAAATGAAAAGCTGACTTTGAATTTTCATGCATATTGTTATGTTATATTTAGCATGAGAGAAAATTAAACCGTTTCTTTACACAAGTATTTCAAACATACACTTTCAGTTCAAATATGCTTGACAAGAAAACAGCTTATAGTACTTACCGCCCCGTTGCTTGCTAGAAGACCACGCTTAAGCCAGTCAAGGAGGTAGTCGCTAATGTTAACATTGCAAGATTTAATTCGAGCTCAAAGAGATTCAGCTTAAACAAACTCAATATCTACGAGATGCATTTTAACCAGAAGCCTTTAAATATTGAGGCTAATCGTCTGGTCTTCATTTATTGGCTATATGGTTAACAATGTGATCTTTTGTAATTATTTGAATCTGATAACCAGCAGATGTATTTTAGGAAGCATATCATGCAGAGGCCGTCAACCTCTGCCCATAAGCCGTCATAATACTTGCAAAGAATTACCAAGCCTTTCTGTTTGCATCTTTTGCAGTTGTCGCAAGAAATGTCTGGTGAAAGTTGAATATTAAAGGTTTATTGTTAGTTTACCGTGTTTTCTTGGACCTCATACTTCATGTTGCTAATTCTGATAAAACATTGTCCGCTGTATCTTGCTTGCAATTGTTTCGAAAAATATATCCAATATAACTTTCATAAGATCAACTATGAAGATAAATATTGATAAAGCAAGTATGGTAAAGCAATTGAAAGGTTATGAGAAAGGAAAATTGAAGGTTCTTTTCTGCTGGGTGAAGCCTTTTTATGATAGGGATTTTTAGGAATTGGCTTTATAAAAGAAAAGCCTCTTCTAAATTGCGAAGATGATGTTGAAAAGACTGAGCCCTAAACCGCCATTTTATGTATACACAACTTTGCAAGTTTTCAACCGTTCGCAAACACTCGTATAAACTGCAGGATAAACTGTATCAACAGACACTTCAATTAACATACAACTCAAAACAGTGCCCGTGTGATATTTGTCACAAGGCTTTCATGTGTAAAGCGTTCGCAGATGATATAGTAATAACTTGCATCATCTTCAGCACATTGATATATGAGATGTGCGCAATTATTATTAAGAATTATTAAAAGAAAGAATCATTATTTAAAATAACAAAGAAAGACACAGTGAAATATGTATTTGTGTGTATGCATAAACTTTAATCTCCTGCTTTTCTGACAAAATTAACTTGAACTTGTAAACGAGCATACAGTAAGATCAACTGATAATGAATCTGTCCACCGTGCCATCTTGATCGTTATTCCCATACATCAAGCCCTCATTTTTGTACACGGATACTTGGAAGTTATTTGCAATCCGAACAACATTTTCAATCTTGTTGTGAACCAACATAATTCAAAGGGGGAAAGAATGTCTAAATTGGCCCTTAAAAACTAACGCTAGGGTTTCCAAACGTTTTGGCAGGCATTGTAGATAAAAATCTAATTCTATAATAGTGATGACGTCATAGAAATATATTTTTGAAATTTTAAAATTTCAATCTCATAACACAAGAGAACTCCTCAAAACATCTCTGCATATGCAAAATAAGTTAAACGTGTTACGGATCGGCGGAAATATGGCCACAAGAGCACTGGCTCTTTCCTCTATTCTTTATGAATAGAGTCAAAATAACAGTAATTTCTTAGCAAACTTCATCTTTCATTTGCCATAACTCACCACATAATTGGCATATTTAACTGATTCAGCATATTGAAAATTTAAAATTTAGAAGCACTAAAAAACGTCACACTTAAAAACTCTATTTTCTATTACAGTGATAGGACAATTTTGAAAACTTCAAATTCCAAGTAAAATTAAGCGTATCTAAAGCAGAGACAGAAAATCAATGAAAAGATTAAGGAGCTGCAGAGAAAATGAAGTTCGAATGAAGAAATAATCTATTATAGCTAGTAACGAGAGGAGAGTATTGAATAATAATATTTCATTCCTCTAAATTTTATGATCACTGGGGTGAAGCTAAAAGAACTTGCTATAGTGATGGAAATCTGCAGATTTACCGACAAAAATGGCGTCCTCAAGTTTGGCTGTTGGCATAGTATTACGTAGTTCAACTTCTTCCAGTTAAATCTCGAGCAAATTTAGAAAATACAGACTATTTTTTGGTGGCAATGAAGTATGTGATACGTATTAATTTGTTCATGACTGTTCGTATATCTTCAAAGTTTAGAAAATTATAGACATAGGTAATAAACTTAAGAATCTAGGCATTTGTTTGTATATGCCAACAAACCCAAAGATTAAGAGGTAAAACACCCCGCACCTCTTCTTTGCCTACGCCCCTGAATATATAAAGTAGTGCTACGGAGATGTAACGACTTCTTGACTTCACAATGATTCAAGCCTGTTGGTTTTTGTTGAATCGCTACATAGAGATTGTTTTGGATTCTTAGTGTAGGAAAAGGATTAATGACTCTTTGAAAGAAGTAATGTAGTGAAATTAAAATTCCTTGCTTGTCAGTTAAAGATGTTTAATCTCACAGAGCTGCAGGTTACTGCAGACAAAGTGCGCGGGATTTATTGCAGTCCATTCACAAAAGAAGCAGCTGAAATCTTATCAGCTGATGGGTTGAGCTACTGTTGTGCTCCTTAAAATATTAATAAAGCTGGTGATAAGTTTCTGGTAAGGATATTAATACTCCTAGAAACAACGATTGATATTACGAGCTTTAGATGTAAAGTTTAATTGAATTTCTTTTCGATCGAGCATTTCTCAATTAAATGACGTGGAGCAAGTGTGAGAACAATCCAGCACTTTCCATTGTGAATCAGAGGTTCCATGCCACGTGCACTGTCTAGCGCTGTGTTGCTAATTAGGTTCATCAGACGTAGGTCGCATTAAGTCATGATGTTCTCTTGTGTTTTTACAATAATATAGGATTAAAATGCTGAATTACCTTAATCAAAGATTGACAGAGGTCGGTTAGTACTACGTTAAAGTCACATGCAATTTTGCGATTATGATCGGTACTTTCTAAGCACGTTCTTTACAGTCAGACTACAGTATACAAGAGAAAAGGCCTAGAAAACATATCACTGTTAAATATGACTTGGTCATTATGTAATTCAAATGATAATTCAAAACACTTTCTCATTCATTTGCTCAAGTATAAATATAAGTATGAATTAAGTAAATGGATTGCCTATTAAATATGAAGACTTTCAGTATGCAAAATGTGTAGCTTCTCCTTGAATTAACTTTTTAGCGTTTTTTTGCTGAAATTTTGCAGGATATGTAACCAAGAAATCTTCCCAAGTTCTACTATGTAGACGATCTCTAGGTAATCATTGCAGGTGTGTCCAGTCTGTTATTTTTTCCAGTCCATCTTTTTTTGTCTATTCTTCTTGACAGATCTTGTTGTCAAAATAGGACAATAAAGCGGAAGCATAACATACTAAAGCACTTTTCGACTGAAACTTTCCAGAGTACATATGTTGGACAAATTCATAAGCGGATGCGACGCTCTTCCCACAAGCAATCTTTAGGAAACTAATAACGATGAGATGGTACCAATTCTCTAACAACTTGCCTAACAGCTGAAGCCAGATAATGTATACCTGTAATGTACATTGTTCGTACGTACGTACGAAAATATGCTTTTACCTCTCCATTGACATTTTCTTGTCAAATTTAGATTACACTGGTGAATTAACTACTTCGTATTGTGAATAATGATTGAACAGATAAGACACAAGTCTTTCTTTATCGATATGTAAGTTAAAATAATGTCAGTTAGAGTCATGAAAGATGATTGACAGACATTCAAGTGGCCCAAGCCATATGTCAATCAAATTGGCCAATCAGCGTAAAGCCAACATTTGATTGACAAGCCCCTAAGGTAACTGTCGCCTTTCAAAATACTTAGGTTCAGATTTTGATGAAAGAAGTAAACTCTGTACTTTGAATCATAAAATCAAGTGAATTAGAGAATCGATTCTCTTCAAATTATAACCCAAACAGATTCTAGGCATCAAATAATGTTATACGGTATAATGGCCCGCAAAATATTTTATGTTTCCCGGAAGGCCCCTGTTAATCTGTTGTTAAAACGACCCAATGCACGAGTGTTGGTCCGGATTCAATGATCCTAGCATCTTGTCTGTGCTAGCATTCCTCGTTGACACTACTGGTCACTCGATCAAGCTGAACACGAAGCTTCGAGGCCGTTATCAATTTGTGAATGTCATGTATGAACATGTTGTCACGTTCCGGCGTATGCTACGTCTTTGGAATACTCAGCTGGATCAAGGGAACTTGGATCACTTTCCAACTTTGCAGGAACAGCAGCCTGTTGATGTGGCCTTGATGCATCGTTCATTGGGGATCTTCGCATGCAGTTTAATGGTCGATCTCAAAACAGGCAGTGTCAACGCAAAAGCTTCAAGCTATTTGCTTCGCCATTTGAAGTCAAAGTTGAGATGGCCTCTGCAAATATTTGAATGGAGTTCATAGCTGCAGAGTACCAGTGAATTGGAACTTAAATACAAGGACACTGATATCATCAAGTTTTATTTCTCTCCTCCATAGAGGCTATTTGGGAGGGAGATGGATATTGAGAAATGGCGAACCTGCAGAGAATAGAAGGGGAAGGGCGGAGGCTTCTTCTCCATCGTAGCTCCTCTACTTTTTCTGTTATTCCGCAGTTCCTTTTATCCTATCTCCTTTTCCCTCCCAATCTCCCTCCCCAATAATTTCTGCAGAGGAGAGTACAGTTTTATAAGAGTATCTCCAGGATGAAGATTCATATCCAGGTCTGGTGCAGCATGCCAAGAAGATGTGTTGCATGTTTGGAAGTACTTATCTTTGCGAAAGTCTCTTCTCAAAGATGAAGTATGCGAAGAGTGGACTGCAATCTCTAATGACTATCAGCACCTTGAAGCAGTGGTGTAACGGAGCAGTTTGGGGCCCTTATGAATATTTTGCTTGGAGGCCCTTTAACAATGAAACTTTTCCAAGACATTCAATTTGAGATTCGAAAAAGATCTCTGAGCAGTAGCTACAGTGACAGGAATGTGGCGAAAAAAAAGCTTTGAAGACTTGTGGAAATGAAGGGCTGACTCGACTTTCCAACATCAAATCAGCCAAGTCTACAGATGTCAATTTCCCTTTTATTTCCACGCGAAGCTCGTTAGCAAATGCCCGTAGCTCTGATTCCAAGTCCTCTGTAAAATCTTCGGGATACAGGCTCAGCAAGTTGTTTGATGGTTTGGAGATGTCTTCGTTGGTGGCTCTAGCTAGAGGGTTTGGGAATAAAATATCGAACGTTGAAGTAACCAGATCCTGGCCACAAAACCTTTCTTTAAGCTGCATCAAAGCAGTAACGACACTTGATTTTGAATTACATTGACTAAGAAACACATTGATTTTGAATTTTTGCTCTGGGGTATTGAAAATATTGTCCTCAAATGCTCCAATAACGGACCTTCTACTTCTAGTTTTTGGCTTGAAATCAACTACTGTGTGCCAAGCGCTAGCTAAATCAAACGCTGTTTGCTTTACAGAGTCCCAGGACTGGCGTAGCACAACAAGCTCTGAAATAGAGCAACATATCAATGAAGAGATGCAGCAGTTAAGTCAATTTTTGGGGACTGCAATTCACGAGATTGCTATTCGTTCCCAAATAATGATAAAAAGAACGAATTCATAAGAATCCATCCTTTCTGTGCATTTCTTTGCAACATCTCGCTCATTTTTGTCATCGCATCTCATCGCTTAAAATTTTATAGTATCCTCTATTATAATATCGCAAACGTCCTATGCAGAATCATGTAAGGAGACTCAGCTGGATACTCGGAGATTAATGAAGAGAGGATTGAAGAATGAAAAACTAAAACAACTAGGTGAAACTTGTTAAGTGAAATATTACGTGATCAAAAGAAATCTACAGAGAAATCTAGAGAAATCTAGGGAAATACAAAGAAAATAGAGAAACCAAAAAACTTAGTTTAGCATCGTGTTTTTCACCAGCCAAGTCTTTCTGGAAGCTTTCATTTGTTAATATAAAAGCACAACAAATTGGAAAACGTGCACTAAATCGCTATATAGACTACAAGCCCAAATGTGAGAAGTCGATTATTTCAACGAAGAGGACAGACGGCAACATGTTTAAACTAAAAACGATATATTTATATATTCCCATGCAGTTTTACCTAAGACCTAATCTTTTAAAAACAGTCTGGTTGCGATAAGGCTTTGCTAAGAAATTAAGTTTTGTAGAGGCCCTTTTGGTTTCTTAAGAGGATTCACATATTGCTTTACTTGTGAATATTTTATGTAACGCGTTGTTCAATCTTATGTAACAATTTTATGAGTCAAATGCTTGACTCATTAGTTCTATCACTTCCTTATGCTTTCTTTTGTGTGCGTTCAACTAAAATTCAAACTTAAATTTCTCTGTTGTCTAACTGTTCCAGAGGAAGGGAGAGACAAGCTGCAGTGATCTACAAAAATTCATGCATGTTACGTCACAGAGAGGCTGGCACCATAGACAAATATTCAAAGTACTGTAGTCATGCTACTTCACAGCATACTTGTCAGATCAGCATCTGAGACCGCCCGGTTTGCTGAACTGAGCCAGCTCGGGTGCTGAGCTGAAAGCTTGTTTTACAGCTCGTTAGAAGGGTCGAAAAGAAGGTACGCTTTATCCGAAAGTACTTTATAAACGGGGCAATTTCCTAATGTTAAGTACAAGGCTTTTGCTACTGTCCGGCTACCAAGACAGCTCCGGTGCTAGGCAGCAGGGATGTGTGCGGGTTGGGGGTGGGGCCTGGGTGTGTCAACCCCCCCCCCCCCCCCCCCCCAATGTCTGCAAACTTCAGGAAAGTTGGTCATATAGCGGGAGCCTTAGCATTAATTAGGAAGTTTGACCAAATTTCAGCCTATAATTTTTTTTGTTGGTCATGATTCGCCATAGTCAACTTTCTCTTTTGTAATACACTCTTTTTTATAAGAACATTTGAAAGTATCATTGACAATATTGCTACGATCCGAGAAGTCACTTATTTGTTTTCTATAGCACTAGGTAAAGCATTTCTTAGTTGAAAGTTCGAAGCAAGATCTGTTATTATTACCATGTTTAAGAACAAGATATAAATGAAAAATGACCACAAGCTTGAAAATGTGGTTTGAATTGAACGAAAAAAAGGAAGAAAACAAAACCTCCTCGTCGCGAACTTCACAGTTCAAAAGATGTTATCCGATAAAATGCTGGAAGCTAATCACAATAAAGCAAAGATAAGTCATTCATGCTTTTGAGACAAGAACCTGTTCTTGCCTTGCATTCTGTTGTGATGTTACGATTAAGCCCGTCTCCGGTGTTAGTCTTATCTTTAACATCGAGTCTGGAACAAATTATCTGGCATAAATCAACAACGACCACGTTTCACACAGCCAGCAGAACTCTTTCTTCACCTGTACATCGGCGTAGCGGATATAACCTGGTTTTTTGGGTAGGGGGGAGGGCTAGAATGGGTCTTGCCCGAAAATTATTGCTTTATCGAGATGGAATTTTCCCGAATCGAACGTGAAATGCGATATATTTTGCCCGATTATGGGGTTGCAGCTTCCCTTCCCTACACCCAAGCACTTTAATTGCCATTAACACTAATAGTTCTTCAAAAAAGGCATTCACAAAGCTACGTAGAGCACAAACCTAGTGTTGAGCAGTCTGCAAAATACAAATAATATGAATAGCAGTGTTTTCATCTTTAATTCATCGGGAGAGACAAAAACCCAACATATATGTCGTCCATTACAAAAACGTTAATACAAAAAACTTTCCTTGATTGATAAGATCGATAGATATAAAGAGACCCTTGCTTTTCATCACTGTCATTGATTGGAAATACAAATATGATGATGATTATACAAAATTACTTATAATCCTTTACTTTTTCAAACCATAAAACCATTTCACTTAGCTACCTTTAGTATTGCCCTTCTCTACGCCTGTACTGCAACAGAAACAACGATACACCTGATGGAAATACCTGTGAAAGGGCACTTAGCGTAGCTTGCCAAGATTTTGAATCAATCTTTTGAAATTTATATTCAAAACCAAAGAAGGTTATGATACATCAAAAGAATATCCAACAACTAATAACTGAAATGCATAAGACTGTACGTAACTTGAATCAGGATTTATGAGCAAAGCATTTGAACAATTTTTGGTGGTACAAAACTTGAAAATGGCTTTGAAAAAGCTAACATTTCACTACATGCTAAAGGTTTTTTGATTCGACAGTCCTCATAGTATAAGACGTCAGAATAAGGGTCCGAAAGCACAAGATTGAAAATATATACCCTGTTGTGGATCGAAATCCTTCAGAGGTAATATATTTTGGAACTCTTTTCTATTAGATTTAAAACAAAGCATTTAAAGCTAAAACTACACAAGCCGAACTTACTTGCTCGTGTCGACTTTGCACATTATATACTCCCAACATTAGATAATTGTATGGAATACATTTATCCTTAGTAAAACTGTTACAACTTGGTGTTTATTAGCTGTTTCGTAGTTATTTTGTGTAAATCAACATTTAGCCAAATGAGTAAAAAAGCAAATATACAGCTTGTTGCTTAAAGTGAATTTTTTATAGTTTACAAGCTTGGGTGTTAGAAGCTTTTGCAACCATAGCTACGAAAACATAAAAGCTTATTACGATAACATAAACATTTATGATACTTTTTTCAATGACAGGTTGCGTGTGTTTAAAGTGAGTGTACATAAAGATAGTATTTACTTTTTAATAGATAATACTAGCATGAATTATCAATAAGCAAATATCAAGTCTTGATATTTGCCAACGATCACGCTAATGATACGTTGGCTTTCCGTCAATACTTGATAATGTACGTCAATACTTGTTAAGATCTTAACAGGATATTAGCTTCCTGTACTGTAAACAGAAGTGCTATAAACAAGATGGATTGTATATAAGAAGTTATCTCACACAAATTTCGTTCGAAGAATTTCTGATAAAGTAGTAATGACCCCATATTTAAACAACTGTTTTTGCTACCAAACATCTAAGCCACGTTTTTGAATGTCAGATGTAAAAATAGAGCTTTTGTGAGATGGGCAAGGGCACCGAATTTCTAAAGTTTCCATGATAGACTAAGTTTTTTATTTTTATAAAAAATAATTTTTTCAGCCAAACTCAAATTTGGGGTAGTTAGCCCCAAACAACCCACCATGGCTTGATGCTTAAGTTCATAGCAATTATAAATCTTCTTACCTTTTATGCTCAATGTAGGCATACTTGATAAGTCCTGCATCGCATTTGCAAAAGTAGAACCTGACTCTCAAGTAGAAATCACACATTGACTCTAATCGCGAGCCATACAACCGTTACTTTAAGCTAGAAAATATTCTAAAAGAAACTGCTTCATTCTCATTGATAATTTATGAGTGATTGAGAGTTTGCCACTATTTAAGCGCCATGCATGATCGATAGATTGATGAACCAATTCATTAGTACAGAAATGAAAAGGATGCGTTTGGTACAGGTGCTTGGCTTCAGTTTGCACTTTGAGCAATTATTGTTTCATTAAGACTATTTGTTAGATCAATGTTGAAATCGATAGAAGCAATTTTTCCAGCACGAAGAGTTGGGTCATGAAAATAGTTTACAGGTGTAAAAATTTGAGTAAAGTTTGAATGTTGAATTGGAAATCCTTTGATTATGTATTTGAGGGTCAAACTAATAGAAAATTCTGAACAGTGGGTCAAACTACTGACTACCTGTTTGCACATCATTGGCTGTCTTGTGGTTATGCTGCTAGAATATCTGTACCCTATTCAATGACCTGAACCGCCTGAACCTGATTGGTCACCTTGGTTTGAAACTTGTGTTCCGTTTAAGGACAGCGATAATCATTTAGAAAGTGAATTCACCTGTCCCTTTTGCTTTCTTTCTGTACGCTGTACTATTCTTGCCCTCACGAAATTAAACAATCTTCATTATTTCGCTATAGGCTTGCCATCGTTGTTCCATCTAGCATTTTTGGAATCTCTCTACATATAAGCATGAAAAAACAGCTATTGTGTAGACAGAAGGAGTTCGTTTTCACATTAAGACTCCATTGGTAACATTTTCTACAGGCAAGCGGCACTGCTCGCGTTTCTGATTGGCCTATTTCCATGCACAACTGGGTATATATATTTCCTATCGTAGTGTTTTGATTTGTGTTCTGACGTTTTATACTCTCAAGAATGTCAGAAGAAAAGCTTAAGTATGTTCTAAAATGTTTGCTTTTTTCAAAACAATTTTTAAATTTTGTACCATAAAAAGATTGTTTTACATAATTCATTCTTAAAACCCCGCGCAATGAATGCCAAAATGGGGAAGCTAGGTTGCGAGTAAAAAGTGGACTCGGGGGCTTGTCCCCAGAAAAACTTTTAGAACGCTATTTAGAACGTCAGAAAATGCCCCATGTTGAAATTTAAAGTCTTTTCATCTACAAGTTCCTTTAGGAAAAAGAACATTCTCAACGAAATTGAGTGTATTTGAAACGTCGACAAGGGTTGTAAAATTTTTAGGTGACAAATTGTGTATTGCTCTCAAGTGATATGTTGATTTTAAACGTTAGACTAAAGCCCAAAGACCATATGTGAGTAATTACGACACTTTTTTCCAAAATTTTGCAGAGAAATCAACTTCTCCAGCCTAGGAGACGAGATAATTTTCGACTAAACTCGCAATCTTCAGAAATTTAGCAAACTAAAATTCATAAACTTTTGTTGAATTTTATTGATATAACTTTTTTTGAAAAAATAAAGATGGGCTTTTGCTTCTGCATGCAAAATTATGGTCAGGCACTGAACATGTGCTTGTCCGAAAAATATCTGACAACATCATTTCGACAAATGGGATCTAAGAGATCCTACTGCCATCCGTTTGTGAAAATTTATGATTTTGCAGATTGATAGGTTGTATGAGAAACTGTATGAAAAAAAGGCACAGACTTTATTCAGAAGCAAAAATTGTTTAAGTTTGAACAATGATTGGGATATTTTGATAGCTAGTTGCAAATTCAAAACGGCTGATTTAGTCTCAACAAAGTTTCTTTGAAAGAGTGTTCATATTTTCAAGGCTCTTGCTGTAGAAATCCAGAATTGGCTTTTGATGTGCTTCTGTCAAGTACCAAACAAGGAGAAGGAAGGGTACTGCCAGGTATTTGTCAGGAGATTAAGGGCCCCGTTAGTCACTAGTCAAGATTTTTGAAAAAATTTCTTTTGGTTTTAACGTTTCACATACCAAAAGCTAGATGCCTATTCCTACGGGTTCTTGGTTCAATTGCAAAGTAAAAAAAACCTGTCATGGGATGTTTAGAAAGTATGATCCTCTATCATACCCATAGCAGGTTTTGAATATTAAGGATTTCTGATGGTCCTTAGAATGAATATTTATTCAAGAGAGACAATGCAGGGAAGATGCACAAATTGGAAAATTCCCCTTCTCCCTAAGTTATTATTTTACCAAGCTTTAACTATTGGCCATAATGACCGTAAACGTTTATGTGAATCCATCCATCATTGAGTACGTTGTATGTGAACGTTCCCATATCCAATTGCCAACACATCGATAATTTTATCCAGTTGCAACCATTCTGAATGGAAAGAGCACATGGCAGTGCTAAAATAATTCATTTTTCCAAAGTGAGAACCTCTCAGTTATTCATTACAAGGCACTCGAAATAATTCGCATTAGTCATAAATTAAAAACCTAATTTCTTCTCGGTGCTGCCACAGTCATGATACTGCTGTCAATAGCACAAAATATGTTCTTTTGAAGATTTCGGAAACTATGGAAAATTTGCCGAGCTCCTTCAAATGAATTATACAATAATGAGGAAATGGAAAACTTTGCAGTTTATCCTAATTTCACTCAATTCATGAAGATTATTTGCCTTTTGAAAGTTTTCAAGTTTTTTGAAAATATACCCTGAGGCAAAGGCGCACCAGGAAATGTTCCGATGTCCCGGTGGGCCAGTCCGCTTTTGGTTTAGATTTATTTTTTGAAGGCATCTAGAAAATGGTAGTATATAAGGAACACCGCAACGCGACGAGAATAAACAACAACAAACACACAAATCAGTGATGGCTAGTATTTCGCCCCGGCACACGGGGCATCATCAGAGCATACGGGGCTTCATCAGCGAAAATAAACTGGCTTCTGGAATGTGAAAGTTGTTTAGATGCTTTGAGCAAATCATGATTAGAGAGCAAAATTTAGCAAAAAGGCACTGCATTCGTTATGTTACATTGTAAAATAAGTTTCAAATGACACTTGTTCCAACCCGCGTGCAACTAACGCGCCAAGTAAGCGCGAGGGAAACGCGCATTGACACGCGATCCTACCCAGGGAGCCTTTCGATCCTTGATTTCGCACGCTGAAATAACAACATGGCGGTCGTCTGCGCACTGTGCTTGGAAATTATTAACTGAAATTTGAATTCTTTCAGTCGTTGGTCATTTAAAAGGATATTTTGAAACGAGGAAAGTATTTTGACGTTTGAAGCCTGCTTTTGAGAAATGCCTTTCGGTGGAAGTGGAGCAAACAAAGCCCCTCTTGGTCCGCTAAATCCTATCTTGTTAGGACAAAAGAAGGAAAGCGGAGGCCAGTCGCTTTTGGCTCAGCACCTGAAAAGACGAGATGATTCAGAAAAGCAGCGTCAATACCAAGGTGAGACAAAGATCCTTTTAATTTTTTTTTAATTCGGATAGTTTGTTTTGGCTCTTAACCTTTGCTAAAAAGAAGTCCTGAACAATAATACAATGAGTGACCCAATACTTTTTTCTATCGTCCTACCGCATCTTTAGCTGGATTTCATGATCTATTCTATTATATCATCTAACTACAGCTTATTGCTGGCCTGGAAAAGGAACATGCTTGCCAAGCCCCCCAGTTAGTTGCTTCATTTAAGCAAATATATATTTAAATGATCGCGTCTCTACAACAGCGCTGGGAAGAAGCTCGCACTGAGTGAATGCTCATGCGGTATCTGAAACAATACAATTTTAGGTCAAGACGAATGATTCTATTTGCTTCATGTATTATTAAAGATGACGTATGTGGAAAATGTTTTACAATTATGTACCAATTTGCATTTAGCGTATTTTGTCGCATCCATTACGTTTTTACCGGTAACCTTCCAAGGTTTTCATTTGTCATTCTTGTATCATGCTCTAAGTTTTCTGAGGTTCAGTTTCAGTTTGTATATGTTTAATATTTTACTTTGAGTATCATAGTTCATGATTCCTTACCTACCGATGGACGTTGGTAGATGGTAGTTTCAGGATAAAAATTTAATGGCATTTATCTCAAGCATAAAGGGCTCTACCTTTAAAACAAATGCAAATTAAAAATGACCTTTTTCAACAGCAGAATTACCTTTTTTTCCTATTAAGATGTATTTGTCTTTTTATTCTAAACATTTTACTAGGTTATTACAGGGAGTTTTATATCAGTTGTGAGGTGCTGCTATAATTTTTGTTTACACTCTTTTTTATAAGAACCAGTAAATTTAAGTTCAGGCTGACTGTTCTTAATTTTTTCGAAAATCTGAGGCTGGATTGTTCTTAATTTGTTCTTAAATTAAGGGGGTGTAAGCGGTGCTATCGCTACCTTTTTTGCTCTGAGGAGGTGTTCAGGGCTCATTTGCCAACAAAGTGCGTGAGACAGCCTTAATTTGCTGACAAATTTTAATATTCACCAAAAAAGCACCAACACATTGCTAAAAATCCTTGATTTTGAGAAAAAACGTTGTTCAAAATTGCATTTTGCAGAAGCTCAGCATCAGCTTGTTCTTAATTTGTTCTTTACTTTTGACCAGTTTTGAGGCTCGTGTTCTAATTGAAAAATAAATCAAGTATATATTAAGTATGTATTATACAGTATTTCATAATGAAATCATGCATGATCATTTATTGGGTTTCCTTGTTTATGACGCATAATGCATCACCTATCTCAATTTTAAAGATGCTCTTTAAAATAATAGAATAAGCCTTTGGTACCACAAAATAGCACAGAAGGGCAGAAATGTATCATACCATACTAAAGAACATACATCAGAGTATAAACATCTATCCAGAAAATTTATATCCAGATCAGCGGCAGACACTTGCAAATACAATTTGTTCTTTTAGAACAAAAGACCTATGTCTTCCAAAATATTTGGGGGGGGCATAAGACCAGATGTGAATCAAAAGTAATGTGAGAGGGAAATTAGCCTATTTGATTGGTTATCAACATATAAGAATAATGCTAATATGTTTGTATGATGTTTTTCTGCTTTCCTTCAGATATTATTCAATGTTTATACTCTGGGGAGTGTCCAACTAGAAGTACTTCAGTATGATATAGTATGTTTCTGCCCTTCTATACCATTCCGGAACAAGAAAATGTAAAAAAGAGTTTTCTAAAAGGACGTACATGTAACAAATCAGCCAGCCTCATTTAAATGTATTTCTTGCAGTTTGAGTTGTCTTGAGCACGGATATATTGTTACTCTTTTCTGCAATTGTTTTTTAACTTTGTATGATAAAATTACCAGATAAAGACTATATTTCAGCTTCCTAATACCTTACCTTCACAGTTTTTAAAACCTCACATTGTTTTTTAGCAAATAATGAACCATTGTGGATAAAACTCTCTCTCAGGCTCTATATTGATATGTTTTGGATTTCTACTTTTTCAGAATGTTGTATAAATATAATAATAATTTTTCAACAATCAGGAGACAACCAGCAATCAAACTACAAACAGTCAAACTATGGTCAGCAAGGGGGCTATAACCAAGGATTTGCTCAAACACAGGGTGGATATGGTAATCAACAAACTGGATATAGCCAACAGCAAACCCCATATAATCAACAACAAGGCTCCTATAGCCAACAACAAGATTCATATAGCCAACAACAAGCAGGTTACAACCAATCAAGAGATTTTAATGACCAGAGAAATTATAGTTCTCAGCCCCCAAGACCTGCCTTTGATGATCGGAATCAACAGCCAAAACCTTTAATGTCTCTACCTAGTCAGCCACCTTATAATCAATACTCAAACCCTCCTTCTTCCCAGAACCAACCACAAACCTATGTGCCAGCTGGATCTACTTACCCGATGCCTCCAGCCAGCTATAATCCACCTTCAGCAGGTAGCTCTAATACTGCTGGATATCTATCCCAAAGCTTTGGAGGTCCACCACCACCACCACCACCAGAACAGCAGCAGAATTCAATCTACCCACAGCCCCCTCTCCCATTTGGTGGTCCTCCTTTGCCCCCTAGTGGAAGTAGCCAAGTGCAGCAACCTCCACCTCCAACATATAGCCATGATTCTTATGGTAAAGATCCTCAACCCCCACCCCCTTTAGACATAAAAGATAATTTGAATAGGCCTTCCCCACCAAGAAAGAGAAAGCGGAGAAGTAGATGGGGAGATGAAGAAGAAAAAACACAAATTCCAGGAATGCCAGCAAGTTTACCTGTTGATGCAACAGAAGAACAAAGGGAAGAATATCTGTGTAAGTCTTCTTGCAATAAAATGTCAAAAGCCAAAGCTGAATTTTCACAAAACCATTATATATTGCTAATGCCATGTAAAAATTTGATGTTGGGTTAAGAAGTAAGAGGCACTGTGGATTTAGGGTGAGGCAATTTCATGTTGATTGTCAAAACATTGACAAAGTCATTTATATTTTTATCATCTGTATTGTTGCTTGCTTTGCTTTAAAAAATGTGCACATTTGTAAAAGGAACTGAGTGAGAATCAACTAATCCTTTTAAAGTTTAAAAAAAATGACATTTGGTGCAAGATCAAAAAGTTTGAAAGTTATAATTATTTATCTGGTCAATTCCTTATAGAATACAATAAAAGGTGGTATTCCTTCCTTAAGTAGTTTTACTCAAGCCCTGTTGCTGATCTTTCTTGCTTCTTATAGGCTTGTACACAAAAGAAATGTGCAATTTGCCATAAAATGAATATTTTGATTGCTACTTTATTTGGTACATGTTATGTGCAGGTACAAAATACTACATGATTTTATAGGTTGTGTTATGACATTTAGGGAATCACTTATTTACTCTGTTTGCAAGAACATAATTTTGCTAAGAACCCAACAATATGGCTGAAATCAGTTTTGCTGTATAATTTTTGCTACTTTGATAAGTTCCTGCCTTATTCTAGACGCTTTTTTGTTACAGTGCATTTCAAAATTGAAGAAATAAGTATAAAATTGCGATCAGGAGACTTGGGAATCCCACCTAATCCAGAGGACAGGTAAAATGGCAGACAGCTTCTGCATTGCATGGTGCAAAGTTCTGCTGTAATTTCTACTCTGATTTAAAGATTCAATGTTTGGTTTTTTCTCATCGCTATATAATTTTGTCTTATAGAGATATCAAGGTTATTGTTGCATAGAAATCCAGTGTGTCTTAGTTTAAGTGGTCATTTTACTTACTTTTAACCTTAATTGTAACTGCATTGTTCAAAATTTGTAAAATTATTTTCTTATAGCTTTGATGATTTGTTTATCTTGAGATGTTTGTTTACAGCACCCTTAGTATTTGCCATTGAGTTTTATTTATGCCACTAGAGTAGCATCTTTTTTGGGGATAACTTTATTATGATATGTGTTATTTGTTTTGAATTAGGACATTTTTTAGCAAAGAAAATGCTTTTTTGCCCAAAAATACAGCTCTTTTTTTAACCTCTCTGATTTCTGTTATACATAGCTCATTAACAGAGTCTATTTTCAGCAAAGTAATCTTTCAGTTTGCCAGATATTTGCAGTTGTGTCAAAAATCTGGAAAATCTTTTGTAGAGTTGGATAAAGATGTTCAACTATTTCCCCTGCAATGGCAATCTATGGTTTTAGGTTGCTAATAATGCCAGCAAGATGAAATTAACATTTCTTATTTTAGAATCTTATATAGGTGAATGGGAGGCAGTTTCCTTCATAAAAACTGCAGTTTCTTGTGAAGGAAATTGTAAAATTTGACATCAGCCATCATTTAGTTTAAGTAAATGGTTTATCAACTAATGTTTATTTATAAAGGTGGGTGTCTTGAAGTGTCTCTTCAAACATTCATATCTTTTCAGGTGTAAGTCTCAAATCAAGGAAATATCTAATTGATGCTGCTTATTTAAACACTTCATAACTTTGTTGCTATTTGAAGGCTGCTTGTTTTAACTTAGGTCCCCTTCACCTGAGCCCATTTACAACACTGAAGGTAAACGACTCAATACCAGAGAATACAGAGTGAGGAAGAGGCTAGAGGAAGAGAGGCACAGCCTCATTCAGATTGCAACCTTGAGGAATAATGATTACAAGCCACCCATTGATTACCGGTATGCAAAAAAAATATGTTAAATAATGTGCTATGTTTTTGACAATGATGGTGAACCTGTATCACTGCTTTTGTTTTTTGCAAAAAAGCCTGAAGGCTGTTTTTGCATCAGATATAATTGTTTGCTTTGGCCAAATAAATTTGAAGCATGACTGAACCAGCTTTTGGTGTTTTTTAAAATGGCCAATGAATTGCTCAATATATCCCAAACAATGGGAAAGTTAGATGATATTTCAAAAATTTTTATCTCCATCAAGCCATTCAATAAGGAATGAGCGGCACTCAACATATTTGAGAATACTTTTTTTGCCAAACTCAAACAACTCTGCTGGACTTAGATAGCATATTGCCTGCTGCTCAATTGAATGCTCAATTTGTTTCACAAGAGTTTTTATTCATTTTGTGTAGTATATATTGTCCAAAAAGGAACTACCGTATCTTGAAAAAAAAGAAAGAGGAAAACTTACCACTCGTCTGCTAAACTTCTCTCTTTATTAAAATCATGTTCATGGGTGTTTGTTTTGTTATTAGACCACCATCAAACCGCATCCAAGAGAAAGTTATGATTCCACAAGATGCAAACCCAGCAATCAACTTCATTGGTTTACTTATTGGACCAAGGTATTGTTTTTTTTAAATTTATGTTATTTAATGTTTCTAAATTTTGGTTTATATGTAAATATTCATTGCTCTAAATATTCTTTTCAATGAATTTCAGAGCCCTGTCATCCTCAAAACCTATCCTATTGTTGGTATTACATGACTCTATATATGCCTGCATTGACCCATGTTGCAGGGCTGAGCTAGTATTTGATTGTTGAGCCTGGTAGTCTGCACGCCGGCTAGCAATCATACAAATGGGGTATTTCTTGCACCTCATCTCAAAGCATTGCTTGAATTTTGGGTCATTGCTAAGAAATTTTCCCTGCAGAATGACAAAAAATTTAAGATTTCTCAACTTGAAAAGTTCAAGGCTAACAGGTTTGCAGAAAGCAGAATAAATTTCTTTAGGCATGACATATAAAATTTATGTTAAAGGTGTTAGGAAAATCAACCTGTGGAGTTCGTGTTCTGTAAATATCTTATATAAATAAAAATTTTTACATTTGTACATCTAAGCAATATTGAATTTTCTAGAGGCAATACATTGAAGAAGATGGAAAAAGATGTAAGTCAATATATGTTAAAGGACTAGTGACACACTTTTCACCCTATCTATTCTTTTCATTAACTTATAGATCATCATTTAGAAGTAAGTTTTTCCTAGTTTAGAACAAAAAATTCTTATCATGGGGCTCAGGGGGCACGATTTTGCTTTTTATCACATGACCCTATGACATACATTGTGATAACTCGGAATTTTCCTGTCATTAATAGAGAGTTTACGAAACACGACGCGACAGGCCCAGACGAACTGAATTCATTTAGAAGCGTGTTGTAAACGTTAATATTGCACTGTATACGAGTAGCAGCAATAACAAATTATCACAATCTACGTCACTTTGTCACGTGATTCATATCCTGCCATAATTTGAAAAGGGTTTTTAAGTAGGAAAATGAAATCAGAAAGGAAAAATACTTCAACAACACTCTCATACAGCATTTTACTTTAAGTTCAAAGGAAAAAAAATTGTCACCAAAAGCGTGTCACTTGTCCTTTAAGTTTTAACTTTGTCATATTTGGTGTGTATTGCAGAATTTTATCAAACTATATAGGTGGTGAAGCTCTGATGTATGCTGGTGGGAAGAATTTATCCAACTTAATTTATTTCAAAATTATATTGTTAAGTTGATTAATTCTGTTTTCAGAGCCTTTCTTAAACTACATGGTTGTCTTATGTTCTGCCTTTTGTTTTAGAATACTGGTATTCATTTGCCACAAGCCTTGCTTCTGTTTTACGCATTTGTCCAGTGTGCTAAATCTTTGTCTTTTATTTTATGTAGACAAACTGCAAAATTATTATCAGAGGCAAAGGATCTGTGAAAGAGGGCAAGGTCAGTGTTGTTATCTCTCGTCAGCCTTGAAAATATACTCTTATTGAATTATCTCCATATATTTCTATTTATATATAGAGAGAGAAACTGTAAAGAGATATAGGGAAAGGTGGTTTGCCATTATTTGACATCGGAAGCTGGCACCAGACCTGAAACAGATTAAAACATTACAACTGTTTCAATGCAAGGGTCTATGTGAGATCACAAAGGTCAAGAGTTTATTTCATTTTGAACAGGCTGCATATGGGCAAACTGAGCAGCTGGTGCAAGTATTATCAGTTCTCAATAGGTATCTTTTGTTGATGATTAGTTAATCTTGAATTTTAGATCAACATTATAATTTGAAGTTAATAAAATAGAAGTACTTGAGTAGCAGCTATATCTGAGTACCATACAAAGGGGGGTGGACTAAATATAGATTTTGTGAAGTTTTGAAAAGTGATAAGTTATGTTCCATTAGGGTTAGCATCTATTGGTTGCCAGGCAGCAATCGAGTTAACAGACAGGTGTTTTTATTATTTTATATTAACCTGTTCTCCTGCCTTGTTTTTATAGATGTTTTTTGTCACTTGAATGCAAATTTTGTATTTAATTGAAAATCATTGTTAGGAATATGATAAGGATATTGTTATAATGTGTTTGTAGTCTCGGTGGACAAATACTAAAGACAGTGACCAAGACATTTGATAGCCTGTGTATACCTGCTGCACTATAAAACTCATCTGTACTTACAAATCATCAATCAGTTGATGATAAAATCAAAGCAGCAAAGCAGCTATTGATTCATTAGAATTGCAAATATTTTCCATTTAACATCAATTCTTCCATTCACAAGTTGCTAATTTGTTTTTCTTTTCTTTTCAAATCTTTGTTTCCTTGATGGTGTCTCTTGGTGAAATGACATTTTTTGGACATACCCAGGTAGTTGTAAAATATCCATTAAACATTTGTTTTCTTTCAAGGTGATGCATCCAATAATAGTTTGCCTTATTTGCAGAGATTTATTGATATGAGAAAACGAACAATTCAGCTGTATATAAATATGTATATGTATTTTCAATTATCTGGTCTTCGTTTTGATGCGAGTGTTGTATTATTTACTGTATTTTTTACTGCTATAGGAGAAAAACTACTAAGCATTAAGTCTGTCCTTTCTGATGAAAATCTTGCAATAATGAAAGCAAAGAATGTAAATTAAACCTTAATTGGATATTGGACATTTTTCTCTTGTTTAGAGACCACTTTCGTAATCTTAGGGTTAATGGTTTGTAATGAACATTTTAGGGACGCCCAGGTTTTCCTCTTCCTGGTGAAAACGAACCTCTACACGCACTTGTGACTGGCCCAACCACTGAAGATGTTAAGAATGCTGTCAAAGTTGTAAGATGTTTTTTTATACCGCTACCTAATTTAACACATTGAATATTTTTTGAAGATGTAACGCATTCAGTTTTTGTTGGTTTTTTATTTTTCCAGCAAATTTGAGAATTATGATTTTTATTTTTTTAATGGTCAGAAGAGAATCTCAATAAGCCTCCTATGTATGTGTGAATATACAAAATTCCCAAATTTCTTAATCTGCCATCGTTAACTGTTTGATGTTATGAATTAAACCTACCTTATTCCTTGATTAAGAGAGGGAGTTATAAACAAAGAGTCAGTTTCTCTGTGAAAAAAGGCTGATAAGGATGAATGGTACATTGGATTGTTAAAGATCAGCAGTTCCTGAATAAAGTCTTCTTACGTCATTTTTTGAGAATTCTATGTTTTTGGAGCAAATAAATTTTGTGATAATCTCAAGCAATCAGCTAAGATTTAATTTTACATTGGTAATAATCGGGTTGTTTGAAGACAATTCTCTTTCAACTTCCATTTTTATCGCTATATGAAACACAAAGCCCAACATTGCTACCCATATTATTCAACCTCATTCTTAAAAAAGCAACTTTCATACTTCTCTCTTTGTTCCATAAGATTGAAAAAATTATCAAAGAGGGGGTCGAGACCCCAGAAGGATCAAATGAGCTACGCAAGATGCAACTACGAGAACTGGCAGCCCTCAATGGAACACTAATTGAAGAAGATATCCAAAGGTTTGTTATCATTTCATTGTACAGTGTCGATAAAGAAATCATAATAATCAGGACTTAAATTGGCTGCAAATTGAAGCCTTTTCCGTAAGTATTGCTTTGTTTGTAGATGAAACATTGGTGTTATTTGTAATCAGTCGTTGAGGCTTGTCCACACAAATCAAATCTAAAAATTTACTTCCGTGTATCTACTAAAGCTTACTTCTAAGAAAAATTTTGTTTCAACCTGGAAAGCTAGATGCCTGGTTTGATTTTGTTTTGCGGTCTCTTTAAAGACTTCATATTTTGTGATTGAGCTTTCCTTTTCTTATGATCATTACTGTTGCTCAATGATTGAACGATATTGATTTTGTTTGAAGAAGCCAGTAGGTGGGACCAAGTCATTTTAAGCTTAAAAGACGATTCTTAGAATTTACCAGAGCAAAATTATGGAGGAAGTTTTTAAACGAAAGTCACAAAATAAATAGCTGCCATTTTTCGATTTTTTGTGTCTAATTCCTATTCCGTTCTATCAATGGCTCCTTTCCTAATAGTGGGTGGGAAGCCGCCTAGTTATAGGCCTATCGTGCCTATATCCGGATGCAATCACCTTTCCCCTTAATGGGGTGCATATGCGCATATGCCTCGAACGTTAAAAGCCTCTTGCTTTCATTTTGTTTGATATATTTATTTGCAGGGATTGTTGCCCCCCTTCCCCAGCACTCACTCTGTTTTTCTGTTCGGTAGCCTACCGTATATTAAAATCGGCAACTGATTCACAAAAATGAATTAAAATGGCTCTGAAAAAAGCAAACATTTTAAAGCCATTTTCAAATTCTGTACCGCCAAACAATTTTTCAAAATTGAATAAATCGAAACGTAACTGTTTACAGCCAGGCCAGTTTACAACATAAAATCCAATTCAAAGTTTGCAAGTATTTCAAATCAAAAAGCTTTTATTTTGAAAGGATGCTCAGGTCAATCTTTCAGTGAGGTTTATAATCCAGACTCCAGAACCAGAGTGTGTTCAAATATTAGGTGATTGGTGAACGTGCTACCAATCGCTACAAGTTCAGATGGCCTCCTTGCGAACCTAGGATACGATCTAAAGCAATGTATTATTTAATAATCTTGGTAAAAAGAAAAGGTTCTACAGAAAGCAGTGAGTGTAAACGTGGCCTTTGTTTTTATTTTGCCAGAGATAGCCAATAGTAGAAGGACTATCATACATATAACATCTTGACTCGCTTTTTTATTAGGTGCCGAAATTGCGGAGCTACGGATCATCGGCACTGGGAGTGCACTGAGGTGAAGAACGTCACGAGCCAAATCGTGTGTACAAAGTGCGGAGGAATGGGTCATGTTGCTAAAGATTGTACATTCGCCACGTATGTTTGGTTGCTGTTTTAATTTTGTCCTGCTTTTTGTAACTGCTTTGGCAAATTTGAATAAGCGGAAAGACAACAAAGTATTGCAGCGAAGCCAGCATACAGTATTTAGTTGAATAGGCTTCTCTACAAAATCTAAAAATGATACAAAAACAAAAACATAACCATTATTACTGGAGTTTTTCCGTCCAACTTTCCCTGAATTTTAAACGTTTGATACTAAGCAATAGGTGGAAGGTTCAAGAAGATTAAATCGTCGAAAATAGAAAGAGTGGAAAAATGCCGCGTTTTTTCGTTCCGTTGGCTTTGGCCAATCAACCACAATTAACCTCAAATTTAGAGTCACCGCCAATACTTAGCCCTTCAAAAAAGCGTCTCTTTCAAACGAACAAGTTGAAAACGCATTTACACCATGTGAGGATTTCTCTATACACATTTATGGGGTTTTTAAAATGTTTTTTTTTCAAAGAGATTTTATGTGTTGTTACATGGTAAAAAAGTTCAAACCTTCTTTCGAAACCCCATTTTTTAAATATTTTTCTTCCGAAAATGAAGTAATCAAGGATTTACGGTAACAGATTAAAAACACCATGGGTAAAAAATCTTGGCTGAGTAAGTCTATTCACCAAATCGTACGTTTTGTAAATGGTTGGAATATTTAAATTTGTTTATGAGCAGAGAAAGTTGCTGCCTGGGAATCACTGAATGGTTTTATTGTTTTGAAGGGATGGAGAAGCACCTCCACAACCAAGTATAGTCGAGAAGGCCAAAATGGACGATGAGGTATGCAAAACATTTAGATAGATTTTGATTTATTCTACAAGTTTTAGCTCGTCTTAGCCTTCAGGATATTTTGGTCCTTTTTGTCCTAATATTTACAGTCCTGGAACATACACTTTTGCTGTATCTTTTTGCCTGGGGCATCTGCTGTATCTATACATTCATAGAAATTTCAAGTGTACCTATACACGGCTGTCACAGAACAACGGTAATCCATTTTCATGCAGATTCAGTATATGAAATTGATCATTGACCAATCTAGGATTTCTTTAAATCAAAGTCTTCAAATCGCTGACATTTTATCTCCGATGTTTTAGCCTAAAATGAACTCTTACTTTGCTCCCATTTTCACTCGTGCATAGACCATATGCTATTTTTCTATTCCAAGAGCTAATTTTGTCCTTTACCCACATACTGAAGTGCGTAGATATCATCAACGTTATCAGATTTTTGTAATCTTATACTGTTTTGAATGCGTACCCAGTTTCTTTGTTAGCAGAACAAATATAGTTAGTCTATCTCTGTTGCCTATGTTATTTCATAATAATGTTGAGAAATATTTCGTTTTAGTATATGTCCCTGATGGCAGAGCTTGGGGTTGACGCGCCTCCTCCTGCGAAACCGACCCCTACCCAGAGTGTAAAGCAAGATGTTAGCGTGCCAGCTGCTCCCGTTGAGCAAACAGTTGTAAGTTACACGGCTTGAACCTTTAACTGTTAATGATTTTATAGATTTGTTGAAAAGCATTTCCTTGGCAGTCACAGCCTTGAAATCAGTTTCTCCAGCTGTCAGTCTGACGATGAATTAACCATGCTTAAAGCCTTCTTTCAAGACTACTCAGTTAAGGCAACTTATTTTCAAATTGTTCCAAATGTGTGACCCTTTCAAATTCTATGCTTCGAAGCAAGGGAATCTATTTCCTCTACAAGGGCTATTTTTTACCTTGGAAATACTCTTGCCTTGTAGGTGCTATGCAAATTAATTTGTAAATACGTATCTGAGTTCTCATTTTTCTTATGCTATGCAAATTAATTTGTAAATACGTATCTGAGTTCTCATTTTTCTTATACAGTTTTCATACACCAGCGATTTAGCAAAATCGGAGTAAAGTTTGATTTATAGCTTTAGGATTTTTTATGATGTGATCCACTGATTTGTTATTTTTCTTTCTTTCTGTTTTTGTTTAGAGAAGACATGCAGAAGCATTATATCTCTCTTTTCACAAATGAGTTAAACTGTTGGTTTATATGCTAGTTTAATTCTTCAATCTATGGTTTATTACAGACCACAACGCCTGCAAGAACCCAGACTTCCCCAGCTCCTTGGTCTGCCGAACCAAAGCCCCTTATGTCTACAAACACGCCATTTAACCAACGATCTCCGGCTCCGCGGCCATTAATGCAATCAGGAGGCTCGCCTGTGCCAGCATCGGGTTGGAACACTCCTCGCGGAGCACTGCCATTCGACCAAACACCGCCTTCAGCTGGAAGAATGGGCAGGGCTGCACCATGGGCACAAGGTACAGCTGCTTAACATGTTACCATTGTCTTTTATAATGCAGGGCCTCTCTCGAAACAACTTTCATTTGTCATTTTCGCCTTTGCAATTGCTACCTGTTAGGTTTATGATAGTGCCTGATGTAAAACGTCTTTTTGAGACATTCAGAGTTGAAAGAAGTGGCTCAATGAATTAGTGTTAAAGCTATAACTTTGTAGAAGAGGGTTTAATAGATCATTTATTTATACTATATATTTGAACTGTGTTCGTATTTCTTTTTGAGGTCATATTACCGGTAGAGTTTAGAAAATACTATTTGAACATAACCTTAGCGTATACTTGGCAAAAAGTCTGAGATTATCAAAGATTATATGTTGTTACAACGTTACCAATAATCGATTATTGTTGCCTGGTTTTTCTTACAGGACCCCCAATGCCGCCTTCAAGCATGCGGGGGCCTCCTCCGCCGACATCAAATGCAGTCCTCCCTGGACCGCCACCAGCCGGGGCTCCTCCTCCATGGCAAGCAGGTAAGATGATAGGCTTAATCTGATGCAAATTTCACATAGATTTTGATCATTTACATGTTGATCTCAGGGTTATCATATCGTTTTGGTTTTAATAAATTACTGAGATTTTCTAAAGTCTAATCATATGATTTGAAAAATATTTAAACGTATCCAACATTCAACCTTGGATGAAGTCAAGTAAAACAAACCAACATTCAGTTATTGGGGCATGAGTGGTGATTTTTGAGGATGATGATTTTTAAATTTCCTAATCTATTCCACAATCATTTTTTGAACCTGTTATCTTTTTTTTGTTCAAGGACCCCTTCCTCCTTGGCAGCAGTCACCCCAAGGAGCAGCACCCTTCCCTCCTGCAGCCGGCTACGGTATGCCGCCACCTGGCACCATGTACCCGCATTTGGGCCAAACCCCTCCTATTCCTCCTTGGGTGAGTCAAGTCTTGTTATTTGCTACAACTATATGTTTAAAGTACATTTTGTGGTCAATTTGGCAAAATACATGGAAAATGGCTTGGAAAATGGTTTATTTTCTAGCTAAAAACCTGTCACCAAAACTGTATACAATTAACTTAACGATATTCGATTACCTTTCATGATAGGCATTGTTCAGTTCGCAATTTAAGATTTCAAAATTAACTTCCGAACCCCTTTTTGGATAAATGTTTTCAGAAAATAAAACTGTTTGCTTTTTTGTATCAAGAACTTCAATGGTATATTTGGATTTTGCTGCCGAATTACTTAAGAATTTATTTTTGTTTCTTTTCTCTTGTTTATTAGCGGTATTGTATTTTGTTATTTACAGCAACAATAATAAAAGGAAACCCAAATATTCAAAGCCGGAAAGTTTTATACAATTCATGCTCTGTGTTTTACTTTTTAACTAGTTTTTGAAGATATCAGAATGACGAAAACTAAATTACACCGCATTTTTCCCAAATGAATAACTGCTGATAAAAACATTTTTTAGTTAATCAGTAAAGAAATCCCGTCAAATCGTGAAACCCAGCCTTTAATTACCTCAATCTCTTTTCAGCAGAGTGCTCCTCCGCCGCCACCGCCTCCGCCGTCCAAATAACAGATAAAAACCCGATGACCTAACAAATGAGATGCAAATTGATGAGCCAAAATGTGCATACAGAAACTTGAACCTGCTTTGAATTCTCACCCGTTTCAATCGACATTTATACGACAGCTGGAGGACCCCTGTCATAAACTGTTTTGTTGATGTATAGGTTCCGTTGACCTGTGGCAATTATTTTTAGCTAATGGAGTATCTTTAAAAAGATTCAAAGAAAACAAGCACAGCAATTGACAGGTAATAGGGCCTTTGTCAATCGGCTTCTGACGTAGCCCCCCTGTCAATCAATTACTGGCCAATCACCAAGCTTGTGATGAGTGCTGTCATGTGAGCAGCGCTACCTACCTCTAAAAGTAATTATACCGCCCAACCCAAGTTTCATGTGATCAATTTTCTAAATTCTCTTGCCTGCATATGCTTAAAAAAACTGCGAAGCCGCATGCTCTTGTGTCTGTCGATTGCCTTTAAGGATACATTAATTGGTCGTGCTTTTAGTTTTATGTTGATTAATAGCGCCTGTTCAACCGGGCATGAAAGGTAAAAGAGCAGTTTAACGTTTACACCAGTAGTTTCAAGGCAGCAGGAACTTTGGAAGAATTTTGGAGTTAAGATTTCAAAAACTTGTTCAAATGGAGTTTACTTTGCAATTCTTTATCGGGTTGAAATCTGCTTCGTGCAAATTTTCGAATCGATGATAAAAATCATGTTTCTACGAGATTGCGTGCGCTAACGAACAAAACTTTATAGTCAATGGCAGTGATGCTTTAAAGTAAAAAATGGAAAAGTTGTTAAAGCTAATGTAGAAAAACTTATATTTGCTATTAGGGAATCGATGAATTGTAAACAAACTACTTTAAACATGGAATGCGGATAGAAACGAAAGGATTATGAACGGAGTCCTACCTAAGCTAATTTCCTTTGATTTCCTGTTGTACACATTATACTGTGATGGATAATATCTCGAATACCTTATTTTTGCTTTTGAGCTCTTTTAAGAAACTGTATGATTAAAGAAGAATTTTCTGTTTTATTTTAATATCTGCTAATAACAGTGCCCTCTAGATCGATGATTAGTTTTACTGCTAAAAAACCTCACAGTGTATCTAACTTAAAGTTGTTACGTCATTTCAGAAAGACATTTTATGATTTCATGATGCCTTCAGATAGAGCATTTTCTTTTATTAACCATTTCCACCATAAATACTTCCGAAATGATTCTCTTTTACCTTTTTTCTAAAAGGTTTTCTAGTCTTGAAAGCATTTGCTACTATACTCTATCTTATCTACTTAAATTTACATTCGATATTCATATTTCAGATGTAGAGAAATTCGTTTTTATCTGATAAAGTTACCAAAGCCTGACATAGAAATATTTCTTGCACTATTTATTGCCATTCTGCCTAAAGTGAGATACTTCCAAAAGTAGACCATTTTGAAATGGATGCCTAAAAAAATCACTTTCTCAAATAACGAATGCGCAATAATTGCTATTAATATTAAATTATTCTTAGTAGATTTCTGCAGTTTTAATGAAAATTTTCCAAGGTTCGTGCCTTAGCATTTTTGTACCAAATGGGCCTAACTTAGGGACTTACAATTTTCAGCGAAACCAGATTCCATAATTGCAGCCTTTAATGTTTGTTTTGAACATCCTTTGCTGCAAATTTCGGTCGAAAAATCGATCATTTTCCAAGCCTTTTGCAGAATGTTTGTGCCAAATGGATTTCAAGATATGTTTATAAATAAAAAAGATTCTATCATAGCAAAAACATTTATATTTGTTTAAAATATTTTCTAATAAAATAATTCATCATAAGCCTGTTGCCTTGGGATAGTTTTGCCTAACCTGCCTTTGAACACAGACTTCCTACTTACAAAACAATTATATTTGTGCTGAATACCTTTATGTAACTAGCATGAAATTTTTCGGACACATTTCAGTAAGGATCGACCATTTTACAAGCTCAACTTTGGCAAAATCAGCCTCAAAATGAGAACGTATTTTCCTTTACCACAGAATATTTATGAATGCAAGAACCTATATATTTGATTTGAATATCCTAAAGGAAAGTTTCAGTAAAAAATGACCATTTCATGGCCCCTTGCCTTAGTATCTTTAAGTTAAATGAACCTAAAAACGTATTTTTCACGACAAGAGCAATTTTTATGGATTTATACATGTTTCAAATGTCTTTAAGTAATTTCAATGTAATTATGGTGGCAAGTCCTAAGAAAAATGCCTTGGTATATTTTTGCCAGATTAACCTATTTGAACGTATTTTCTCAGGAAAAGCGGATTCTATAATTGCAAATTTTGTTTTAGTTACTACAGATATTGGTAAGGTGATTAAATACAGTTTGGTGACAAGTTCTTAGCCAAAAATGAATTATTTCCAAGCCTATTGCCTTGGTATTTTTTGCCAAATTGACCTCAAATTTGAAGGTATTTTCTTAGCAAAAGCAGATTCTATGATTGCAGAATCGTTTATATTTGATTGGAATAATCTTAAGTAAATTCTTTGCAGTTTACTTGGCAATTTTTTGTAAAAAAATGAAAACTGCCAAGCCTACCCTCTTAGGACATTTGTGCCGAATCGACTGCAAAATAAGAATGTATTTTTTCAACAAAAGCAAGCTCTATCTTTGACAAAATGTTTTTATTCATTTGAATATTCTTCAGTGAACTCTTTTTTTTTACAAATTGTATTAAAAATTGATCTCTTTTTTATGGCCATTGCCTTAGGATATTCGAGTTGAATGATCCAAAAATGGGAAGGTTTTTTTCATAACCAGAGCAGTTTCTATGAATAAAAATAGCTTGAACATCCTTAACTAATTTCCATTTAATTTTGGTGGTCTTAGCCAAAAAAATCAGCTATTTTACAAGTCTGTTGCTTTAGGATATTTGTGCCAAAGTGTCCTCAAAATGGGAAGGTGGTTTTCTTAACAAAAGCAGCAGCTATAATTGCAAAAATGTTGATTTTTGACCTGTACTCTGGGTGACAGAGCCACAAAATTTCGAGCGCGTAAATGCCAAGCAAAGAGGCGGAGGAGCGTACTCTTATCTTCTATTTCCGCTCTTGAATTTATGTGGCTTTGGTACCCAGGGTATCTGACCTGGAATGGACAAAAATTGCTTGATTAAAAACATCCATGTTTTATTTATGAATTGATATAAGTCACATTTTCAATCCATATTATGATCATATGAAACAGCAAATATCAGAGAAAGTGCGAATGAAATTCATATTGGGAGGGGGTGTGGTGGCGGCTGCCCGTTGTATTTATTCCCACTTAGTACACTGTTATACAAGAAATAAAGCTTAGGTTGCAATTATTGGGGGGGAGGGGGCTCCAATACGTGAAAATAATGAAAATTAAAACAGGAAATAAGAAAAAAGAAGATCATCGCTACCATCTGGTTTCAGTCTCAAACTCAGATGGGAGGAGATTGACAGAAGGTTCTCGAAGACTAGAGACCTGTATCAGGATATAGCAATGCTAAAGCAAAGAAGATTTGTTGACCCGAAGATGAAGCAGGAGAGCAATAAGAGTCTTCTTTTCAAGATTTTTCGTTTAGCGAATGTCAGCTTGAAAATGCTCAGGGAAGAATTGCTGGCATTGGCAAGTCGCTACTAGCAGCATATCTCATATCGTTAAAATAAGTACAACAATTTGCGCAAATGGAGATTCAGGAAAAAAGAAGATGATTTCAAGGAACAAGCACTTAGAGAAGAAAAAGATGCAGAAGAAAACTGTGACTTTTAAGGTGGGGATTCGCAAAAAGAGAAAGGACCCCAAAGTTGACATCGACACCCTGTATCAAAAGGGTAGAAGCTTTACCCTGCACAATCAAAACTTTATTCTTACGCTCTTTTTTGTTTATAAAAAAAATAAGAACACGAGCATCGAAATTGGTCAAAAGTTAAGAACAAATTAAGAACAAGTTAAGCTGAGCTACTGTAAAATGCGACTTGGAACAACATTTTATCCCAAAAACGAGAAATTTTAGCCATGTGTGGGTGCTTTCAGGTGAATATTCAGTCAAATGAAGGTTGTATCACTCACTTTGTCAGCAAATGATGCCTGAAAACCCCCCTAGAACGAAAAAGCTAGCAATCGCACTGCTTGCACCCTAATGATTTTAAGAACAATCCAGCCTCAGATTTTTGCAAAAATTGAGAACTGTCAGCCTGAACCTAAATTTACCGGTTCTAATAAAAAAAGTGAAAACAACACGCACATAGCGGCAAACCCTTCCCTCTACAATGCGTATAACTGTGTGATGACACTAGCTGCACCTATTGTTAAGAAAAGGCTGCGCTCCACTATCAGTCAACCAATTGCTATTGCTATTGATAATTTCAAGCGAAGAGAAAGCTTGCCACTTGATTACGAGGAAGTCATTGACCAATTTGCTGATTCATCTGCACTTCTTCGAAAAGAGTTGAAACTCTGAGAGCTTAAATAAATTTTTATCTTGATTCTTAACTCTGCATGAGATTTTTAAAACCCTGTTTACATGAGAGGAAATGTATGAATTCAATTGGGTCCGAATTTACGAATTAAAATCGATATACTGTTCCTGTTTAGCACACTGTTTCATTATCAATTTTTATTTAATTAAACGATTTTAAGGTTATATTTATAAGTGGGTATGGTTAGATTTTTTCCGCCAGCCCTAAACCGGGCCCTTTGAGTTTGCTAGACCCCCTGCGGTTCTGTCGTCAGACCGCCCCTGTTTTCGATCATTGTTTCGAATTTGCAACAAACGATAATGTTCTTTAATTTTTGCCTTCTTTCAAACCGTGTTCAAATTCTTACCCTTAAGAGAATTTCTTTCTTCATGTCAAAATCAAACAAACTAGAACTATGGAGCATAATTATGGCAAAATGTTTGTCCGTTGTGCTTAGGATCGTTGGTTTCTCAATCGATGATGTAAATATTCCAGACCCATTGACTATCCGTAGAATGTCATAGTTGCAAATCCGTTTGTGCCCCTTCACCAAACCACTGAGCAATAAATCTTACCTTTTGCAATAATGATTTTCTACTGAATCTTATGTGTATACCTTCAACTAATGTCTAACTCTACAGCCATACTCAAAAGCGCAAAAGGCAAAGTTTCGAAGCCCTAAAAGTTTGATTTCCCGGTAAAGAAGGGGCATTCCAGTCTGCCCCTTTTACACAGTACTCTAAGAGCAGTTGGAGCCACTTTGGTAGAACATCGAATGCTCAGCAGGAGGGTTTTTCTATCAAGAGAGAACTTTGATAAGAGACCTTAATATATACTTAGACTATGTATCGTTGCTTCGACACAATTATAGTGAAATTTTCTTAGAACGTAAATAGAAAGCCTTCCGTCAGTAGCAAGGGTCAGAAATTGTTGATAGTTAATCTATTCATAAATTTATGAAAATTTTGTCAGAGCCACCACTATTATCTGCTTCCCCCTTCAAATTTGCTTGGGATTCGCCCCTAGCAGCAACAGAAAGTGAGGGTCAAGCAAACGAGAGGGCAACATGAATACCTTGACTTTGACTGGAATTCGCCTCTGTAAAAGAATCAAATTTTCAGCACTTTTATGAGATATTGCGTTTACAGTGGAGTCACGTGATAATAATTCCACTTCACGTTCTGATGAAAAGAGCAATGTACCAGATGAGGCAAGAGATAGGAAAAGGGCAATTTAGTTTCGTTCAACACGCTGGCACAAGAAATGCCATCTTTGTGCTGAGAATGCTATCGGAGAGAGCGATTGATATTCAGAAGGATTTATATGTCTGCTTAATTGACTACACAAAAGCTTTCGATAAAGTGCAACATGAAGAGCTGTTCCACCTGCTACAAGCAGTAGATTTAAACGGAAGAGACCTGAGAGTCCTGCAAAACCTATACTGGGAATAAATGGCATGTATGCGAGTAGGCGAAGACAAAAGCGTATACATTAGCATCAAAAGAGCAGTTCGGCAGGGATGTGTGCTGAACCCAGATCCTTCTACAGTCTACAACTTCTACAGCGAGATCATTCTTCGAGACATAATACCACTGCGAGGGTAAGTTGTTGGAGGCCAGAATATTAACAATCTGAGATATGCGGACGATACAGTGGTGATTGTGGAGTCCAAGGAAAAACTGCAGGAGATACTAGACAAGTAGTGGAATCC